GAGTCAGAGTGCCCAGCCAAACAGGCCCCGCCCTCGGGCCGCCGCAGCAACCGGACGCGGCGAGCTGACCGGAGCGGCCCGGTGGCCCTCGCACAGGTCCCTGCCCCATCTCGGTTTTGCAAACTGAAAATGTACTTCGCCCCATCCCTTGGTCTTAGAGACTGGGGGCAACATTTTTTTTTTTTTTTTGAACTCAGACATACACCTTGAACCACTCTGTCAGCCCTTTTTTGTGTGTGTGATGGGTTTTTTCCAAGATAGGGTCATTCGAACTATTTGGCCCAGCTGCCTTCAAACCATGAACCTCCTGATATCTGCCCCCTGAGTAGCCAGGAGTACAGCCGTGAGCCACCGGCGTACCCAGTCATACCCTTGGCACTTGAAGCTCAGAAGCTGTGCTCTGCCCTGCCTAGGAGGCTGCTGCGGACCCCCTCCCGAATCCCCTGCCTCTTTGCCTGGCCCTGTTAATCGTTCACTGCTGCAGGAGCTAAGCTAGGACCTGCCTGGGTGAAGGCAGAGGGAACCAGGCAGTGATACAGCCTGCTAGGAACCTAGAGTCAACTGAGTCTGAGTCCCCCTTTCCTGTTTATAAATCTGGAAGCCAGATGACTGCTGACATGGATGATCTGGCCCATGAATGACCCTTGTGGTCTCTAGTTGGCTTCTGCTGTGAGCTGGGCAGCTGATTACTAGCCCTATCTGAGCTCCATGGCTGAATTGCCCAAGGAGTGGCAGCTCGCTCATCCTGGGTCACATAGTAGCCTCTCCACAGAAGAGCTGTGAGGCAGAAGACTCACAGACTGACAGGAAAAGGGAGGGGACACCTGTGCCCTGGGGGCTGCTGGCTCCTTGGGGAAAGGTCAAGTGCAGATTGAAGAGGAGTCACAGAGGGAGGCAGTCCCATTGGGGGCAGGCAGACAGGACCCCAGGTATCACCTGACCCTTCCTATTATGGGAATCCAAGGTCCACATTGCTGGAAGCTCAACCTGGGAGACAAACATGGTGGAATGACTGATCTTGAAGGAGGCAGGAGATTCTCCATCTAGAATCTCCATCTCCTTGGGGTACAAAGAGCTTTCATAGAGCAAGAAGTCCTTATTCTGGTCAGGGTCTGTGCCATCCAGGGCTTGTGTTTCCTTTGGCCTTGTAATGGACTCTCACCTCCTGGTGCTAGAGAGAATGACTGGGGCTGTGCGCTACAAAATTCACCAGATGTTCTGGGTTCTGTAACGCTAAAGAGAGATTTGGCAGTTAACAACCACTTAGTTTGGGCTTCTCCTTAGAATTTAGAGTGCTGGGCCAAAGTGAGGGCATGCAATACTTAGGAAAGGATTAGGGAGGGACCCAAGGCAAAAAGGAAGGAAGAGGGACTAAGGGACAGTTCCAAATGACTCCGCCCCTCCCCTGTTACATGATGACTTTGAGGCTGGAGACATGGCTCAAGTTACATGGTTCAATTTATATGATGACTTTGAATTGTTACAACAGGAAATTTCAGCCAGGTGCTGGTGGTTCACCCTTGTAATCTTAAACTATTTGGGAGGCAGAGATTAGAAGTATGGAGGTTCCAAGCCAGCCTGGGCAAAGAGTTTGATACCCTATCTTGAAAATGCAAAACAGAGCTGATGGAGTGGCTCAAGTTGGCAGAGTGCCTGCCTAGCAAGTGTGAGGCCCTGAGTTCAAACTCCAGTATCACAAAAAAAAAATAAAAACCCACAAAAAACAAACACACACACACATGTGCAGTAAATTTCACCTGAATGTTGGTAGATTTTTTTGTTGTTGAAAAATGGGACTGTGGGGCAACCCTAGACTTGACAATTGGCTGCCCCTTTAGCAGGTTGTGCTCTGCTTCCCTTACTCCTTGCACTCCCTGGTATCAACCCCCAGCTTACTTCACTCTTAGAAATGAATGGAATGAAAAGGCCCTTGTGGGCACTAGGCTCACCACCCATGATTCCATTTCACAGATGAGGAGAGTAGCGACCAGTGGGCCACAGGGACTTCCCAGGTGCCAAAGGTTAAGCCTGCAGTCTGCTTGGAATCAAGGGGATAAGGAGGTGATGACCCTAGACACATCTTCTAGAAACATCCCGCTGAATCCCTGGTGCCGAGAGTAAAGGTTTGGCTTCCTAGGATGTGCAAGTACCCCCTTGGAGGCTCTGGACAGAGCTCTCTAGGGGCCACCCAGAAAGTACCTTACTCCCCTGACATGCAGATGGACTTTCTGGTGAGTCAGCCTGTCCAAGGTCTCTGGTTCTGCTTCCCCATCCCCTGGGGACCCAGAGACCCTTTTCTTAGAAAAGAAGTGGGGAAGCAAAGCCTCCCTCCTCAGGTGCATCAGTGGAGACCAGTAAGCAGGTAGTCATGACCATGACAGGGCCTCAGTGCTTCCATGCTGCTCCTCCCAGCTCAGGTGGACAGCAGCTCCATTCAGAGCTCCCATGATGTGACAGGAGGCAACCAAGGTCTGAGAAGGGAGCAAAGTCTGTGCCCCAGAGCATCCCACTCACCTCTGGCCCTCTCTGACCAGCTATTATTCTTGGTTGTCAGATTTGATCCTTCCTCTACTCGTAGCCTCATTTTTCTGAGTAAGTTTTCTTTTCTTTCTTCTTTCCCTTCCTCACTCCCTTTCTTCCTCCAATTTTTGAGACAGGGTCCTGCTATATAGTGGGATTACAAGCATGTGCCACAATGCCTGGAGAGTTCTTGACCTTTCATGGGAACTTTTTTTTTTTTTGCAGTACTGGGACTTGACCTCAGGGCCTACATCTTGAGCCACTCTACCAGCAATTTTTTGTGAAGGGTTTTTTCGAGATAGGGTCTTGGGAACTATTTGCCCAGGCTGGGTTCGAACCACGATCCTCCTGATCTCTGTCTCCTGAGTAGTTAGGATTAAAAACCAGCACCAGCTCTTTTGCAGGAACACTTGGAAAAGAGGCATCCTCTGTCTGCCAATAGGATGTCTTTCCTAGAGCTTCAGGCAGATTGTAGTCAACCATTGAGGAGCCAGTGTACAGGAGACAGAGTCAAGACATACAGAGAAGCAGATAGCTGGCCAAATTCAGAAACACCTTGATTCAGCTATTCCTGAAGTGATTTTAGTTACATAAACCAATACATTCCTCTGATTAACCGGTTTCTGCCACAACCAAAAAAATACTCCAATATGCCTTCTCAAATGAGGAATTTGAGCCACAAACTTCATCTTGGAGAAAAAGGACCTGGTGCTGCTAAATTTTACTCCATTTATTAAACTTATTTTTCCATAGAACCCCTCTTTTTAGAAACAGCTACTGGAGAGGGAGGGAGGGAGGAACAGACAGAAAAAAAGAAACAGCTACTAATGTACTGGAGAAATGGGCTTTGGCAAGTGCCACCAGGGATGGTGAGGTCCCTCACTGTGACTGGCCTGCCAACTGCAGCTTCTGGAAGCCAGAGAGCCCTGAGGCTCAGTTACCGCACCCTGGAGGAGAGCTTCGGCATTCCACTAACTCAACCAGGCTTGGAACTCCCCAAGGCCAGGACCCACAGCCCCTCCCCCTGCCCCTTCCCTCCAGCACCAACCTGGCACAGAGCAGACTGTCAGGAGCATTGGCTGAAAGCACAAGTGGACCAGGTGTCCAGGTGAGTCCACAGCAGTCTTTGGGGCTGACCTGCTCTGCACAGAGAGAGGCTCTGACCTCTTTGAGCAGCACAGTGCTGGCATAGGGCTGAAGCACAAAATGGGCTCAGGTCCATGATGTCTGTTCAAAGGGACCTAAAGTTGTGCCCCCCCCCCCCACCCATTTCAAAGACCCTGTGTGTGGGCCTCTAGCTCACTCTAACTGGCCAGAAACAGGCAGGGCTTCAGCAATCCTCCTGGATCCCAGAATGACAACTGGTCCCAAGGAGACTTCTGGCCTGGGCTGGTGATAGTGATGATCACAATGGACCTACACTCTCTTATCAGCAGATGGAAGCTCTTATCCTGAGTCACCTGCCCAGAAGGTTCTACCTTCTGATCATGGAGATGGTGGCCTCCACAGCACTTATCCAGGAGGTGCAAATTTGGGTTTAAGGGCTGGATTTGAAATTCTAGCTCTGATTCTTCACTGGCACATGAAAGAGGCTGGGCAGAGGTCTGTGTTAATCTCAGGTTCACTGTGGCTTTGATGAATCCACTGTACTTGAGGGCCATCCTGAAACTCCAGTGGATAATTAAAGGGCTTTCAGCCCACCTAGCTACCATGAGAAGGACAGGTACCACAGGCTGCTACCATCTACCCTTTGGGGCTCCTCCACCTCAAAAGTGCTGTGGGGCAGCTTCCCCTCAAGTAGCAGGAGAAAGCCTTTTGGAAGGGAGAGCAGTTGAGGGATGGACAGAGATGGGTTTCTTTTTTTTGTGGGGCGGGGGGGGGGGCGAGGAAGAAAGGGTTCTAAAATTGTGATGGTTGTACAGCCTGTGAATAGATCTAAAACTATTCAATTGTACATGTTTAGTTGGTCACTTGTATGTGATGTGAATTATATATCTCAGTAGAGCTGTTACCAGAAGAGATGGGGAGAAAGGTCTATCTGCCTCAAGCAGCAGCTCTCAAACTCTGTGCCTGGTACTCTTCTGTGGAAGATTCTGATGCCAAATGGTGAAAGCCCAGCTGAGGACAGCTCAGGGTGCACGTCAGCCTGCTTGCTCTGGGCAAAGGGGAGTGACCTCCTCATATGAGTCTGGGTCTTGGAATGAAATGCAGGAAGACCCGTAGCTCTGGTCTTAGAGCAAGCTCTCAGGGTACCATGGCAGCCTTCCAGCTGCTATCACCAAGGCCTGCTGGCAGAGTGCAGGGATTTTCCTGGCAGGCAGATAGGCAGCTGGGCAGCAGGGTGGGGAAGAGAGGGTCCCTGGCTGCTCCCTTCAGCAGGGACCCCATGGCAGCCCCTGCTTAAAAAACACAGGTGGTCTGACTTAGCAGGCCCTTTGGATGGTCACAATCAACTCCACAGAATCACAGGAACAGTTTGTTCAATTATTTATTTACTGTGGAGTACTTTACATGCAAGAACCCAAACTAGAGAGGCTGTGTCTAGGAGAGCCAGTGGGGTGGGTGGATGCTTCAGTGTCGCTCTGAGCCTCTCAAGAACTGGCTCTGCTCACAGAAATACAGGACAGTAACAAGGACAGCAGACTTCTGGGGCGAGGAGACAATGAACACAACACATTGCTCTTTTTAATAGCCCCCTACAATCCTGAGAACCCTCACAAATGAAGTGCAAACTTTAGGAAATAAATACCATCCCTGCCTCCAGGAGAGCCTAGAGGCTTGGAACACAGCAGGAACGGTCGTGACTTGACACAGAAGTGACAGCTGTTCCCAGGCTGGTGGCCACTGGGTAGGCCTGGCCTACCATGGGCAGGAGGTGTTGGGAGATGGGCACTCCCCAAGGGCCCACGGGGAGTGTCTTCTAGTGGAAACATGTTCCTTTGGGGGTGGCTGGGTCCCTATGTGGCTGAATAAGGAAGGAGAGCCTAGCCATCCCAACAGCAGACGGGGGAGAGGCCACACAGCCCACATGGCAGTGCAAGGGGCAGAGGCCGGGCTGGGAGCAAGTGTTCCTTCACGCTGCTCTTACTCAGTCAACTGAGGTTGTCTTGGCCCCAAGAAGGCTCCATGGCCCATCCTGAGCCATCCAGAAGGTTGAGTTCAGTCAGAAAAGTGCTTGTCACAGGGCTAGCATGGGGATGCAGCAGCAGGAAGGAAGAGGAGGGCAGCAGCCCACTGTCCCTGGGCCACTCCGAGCCCTGCACCCTACTCCCAGCTGTGGAGTGCTGCTGGGTGACACATTTTCACCTCCTAATGGGCTACAGTGGTAGCACAGGCCGGGGGACCACTAGGTGGGGAGGGAAAGGGCAGTGAGCCAAGGCACAGTCACTCATATTAAGGGGGGCTGACAGACAGAAAGACAGGATAGATGGACAGTCAGTCACCTTTCCCTATGGCCCAGACCAGCAAGCCCTTTTGGCTCTGAAACCCCTGTTTCCATGTGCACTGATAAGCAAGTTGGTCACTCTCAGCCTGGCCACAGTTCACCTGCTGGGGGCCTGGGTAGGGACCACTTTGTGGCAGTCTAGTAGGAGACCACTGTATGTGGTGTCTTTTCTTCACTGCTGCCCATTGCCCAAAAAGGTAGGCAGGAGGAAGTAGTTAGTTGTCACACCTTAACACACAATGAATAAGAAAAGGTTAAACACATTCCTTAGAAAATATTTTGACAAAATAAATATTTTAACCTATAATCAGGTATAATTAGTGTTTACAAGGAATCCCAGCAATAATTTAGTGTAATTAAGTACATACTGTATCTGTGATTTCTAACACTTGTAGAGGCTGGTGGCTTGTAAGAGTCCGGTTTTTCAGAAAGGACTCTGCTCTCTTCCCTATGCGGACATCTGAGAACTGTGCCCCCAGGCAGTGGTGATGGTAGCAAGGAACCACAGGACTCAGGGTAGTACAACCTAAAAGGGCTAGGCGGAGCCTCCTTATGGTACCTGCACCTATACTTGCTTCCAGTGTGGGCCTTGGGCACGTGTCACCTCAGCATACAGGTAGGGAAGCTACCGCTGGACAAGGAAGTGAGCAGAGGTGATTGAAAGCCACCAGAGGGGCTGTTCCAGGCCAGAAGGGGACACTTGTCTGCATGGCCAGTGGCCTCCTGCCAACCCACAGGAGTTCTCCAGTAACTGCAGCTAGGCCTCTCCATATTAACCAGCTGGAGTTGGGGGTGGGGACACTTCTGGACATGAGTACTAAGACCAGTTTTGCTGGTGACCCCTATGCAGGACCCTATCTCAGCCTTGCTCCCTGCATGAGCCCCACTTCCTCTCCGTGCTGTCCAAGGCAGGGAGGCTGCCTCTTCCCTCAGAGAATGCTAGCCTGGCTGCCCACCACCTGCAGGCTCAGCTCTGGCAGATTGGCAGAGGGAAGTTCTGACACTCACAGACAGCCCCTCCAGACTGTGCATGAGGGTCAGGTCTCTGGATACACAGAGCTATGCCAGCCACCACCTCTGCAACTTAACTCTTGCTGTCTACCTTTGGAGGTCTTAACAAGCTGGCCACAGGGGCTCTGCTCTTAAGAGATGCTGACAGAGGGGCATGGGTTGGCAGAGGGCCAGGATGTGGTGGGGTGGAGGTGTGGCAGATACTCAGAGAGAGCTGGGCAGCAAGCAGACTGGCCAAGCTCCAGAAAGTACTTTCTGGATGATCTTTGCAGAACAGTGTGACAGCCCCTGCCAGATAGGCCCAGCCAGCTTGCAGTCCCTCTCTCCAGAGACTGTTGGAGGAGTGCTGAACTGGGCATGGGGTCCCAGGGTAGGACCATTCCTGCCTTTGGCCCTTGATGTAGTTCTTGTTCTAAGAGCTTCCCCAAGCCGGGCACTGGTCTCTTTACACATAAAGCCTGGCTTCCTTTCCCCGCTGGGGCTGGGGCTCTAGTGATGATGGTGGAAGGGATGATCACACTGTGGGTAGGGAACCAGTGGTGACCTAGGCAGTGCCTTCCATTGCCAGATGAGACAGCAAGCTGGCCCAGAAACTTGTGTGTTTGTGGGGGAGGGGGTTGACATGGCTGCAGTAGCATTTTTGTTTTTCTGGGTAATGGCAGTTTGGGGGAAGAAGAGGCTGTCAGTTGGACCAGGGTGTGAATAGCACTCTGAATTCTTGCCCAAAGCTAGGAGATGCACCATCAAGGTCATCAGACAGGAGTGGACATCACCAGCCCCCAATTGCTTAGCCCCAGGCTGTCGACCTTCAAACTGAAAGTGGTAGCTGGGGGACAGGTGGGGTGGGAGGGCTCAGGCTGTAAGGACAGCCCAGGGAGTAGGCCAAAGCCCCTGCCAGGGAGGGCAGCAGAAGCCTAGTGTTGCTATAGCCACTTGGAACCTTTAGGTGTGGCATACAGCTGTCTGTTGCTGGGCCTGGAAGTTGCTCTATGGAGGCTGCTGCAGGCCAGGCCAGTACCCTGGGTGTGAGACACAGCAAACCATATCACCTTCCCAAGCATGCCAGAGCTGTGTCTCCTGTGCCATCCCCAATGAGGATACCCACACAAGGACAGGTGTGAGTGTGAATGTATACAGTGTACATAGGGAGCAACTGGTTTATGGTAGTGCTAGCTACTCAGTGTGCCATGTGGCCATTGTCTACAGGTTCCATGCTCCCTTCCAGCTGCCCTTGGCTATCCCTACACCAAGAGCCACAGGTCCTTCTGGGGCCCTTGGACCCAGCCAGAGCATGAAGACAAGGCTGGCAGCTGACTGATGAAGAAAGTGTTCAGAATGTGAGGGAATCCCACGTGGGGCAGCCCACAGAGCCTTCTAAAGTGCCAACACATTGAGTGCCACAAGGTGACACACAATTCAAGAAGGGAGGCTGAGCCTGTGGGTACAACTGAGCCCTGCTCTTCCAGAGGTGGTGACAAAAAGCCCTTTCTGGAAGAGAGGGGCACGGGGGAGCAGCATGCCTGAGGGAAGCCACTGAGCTATGAAGAGGCAGGGCACATGTGGCGGGGCCCGGGCTTTGCCTATGTCTCTATGGAAGGTAATGAAGTCCAGGTGCTCTGCTCCATAACAGTGTTGAGAGGCTTCACTGCCTAGGACAGGGCCACTGGCTCTTCCTGTGAGGTCCCAAGACCAAGAGAGCCCATGGAGGCAGAGGAGGGCAGGGCCTCTGGCTACAGTGCCCCCCACTCAGAGAAAAGGAGGTGAGGAAAGCTGGTCCTGACTAAGGGAGTCCTGGGAACAAACAAAGTGATATTTCTATGGAGACGCAGGTGTGCAGGCTGAGAGGCTGGGAGGGAGTGGCCAGTGCCCAGTGTCCACTGGAGAGCCAACAGTGACCTGCCATTGGGGGAAGGCAAACCACAGAACAGCTCACAGGGCAAAGAGGGCATCCTCAGATCGTTCTGGCTTCTTTCGACCAGAAGGGTTGGAGGCTGGCGAGGGGGCCTCCACTGGGGGTGAGGGGAGGTCAGGAACCATTTCAGCAGCTTTGGCTCTTTCTTCCAGGAACTTATCAAACTCTGCAATACAAACCAAGGTACAGGCACAGGTTGGTAGGGATGTAGCACCCTGTGGCCTGGGGTGCTTGCCACTTCTCCCCAGTGGGGATACCCTAGCAGAAGACCCCCCCAACTTCAGCTCCAGCAAGTACCACATTGCCTTGGCTGAACTCTAGTGGAAGGCAGGCATAATGACAGGGTGAGCAGCCAGCGCAGGGTTACTGTGGGCCCTCCCAGTCTGGGGACCAGCCTCAGGGAACTCAGCCCTCTCCCTGACTTCCTGGCCTCAGTCTCCTCCTCTGTCACCTGTAAGAGCAAGCAGGAGCAGGTGCATGGGAAGAGCTCTGTACACTTGAACTGTGGGCCCCAAGTGATAGGTGGGGTAGGGGAGTCTAGTAGCCTGCAGGTCCTGCAGGGAAAGGCTCTGGAAAACACAGAGTGCAGAGCACCTGCTTGTCAGAGGGGAAGCAGGGGCTTGTTAAGAACTAAGGCAATTCCCACGGGACCCATCAACTGAGGCCCAGATGGGGCACTGTTCCCTCCTGGCTTAGCCACCCAAGGGGCCCTGCACACCCTGTGAATTGCTCAGCCTGAGCTGGACTGAGCGCTGGGGTTGGGTTCCAGGATGGCAATCTGCACCCACCATCCACACTTGCCCTCCTGCCAGACCTTCCAAAGGTCACTTGTCTTTACAACCTCCATTTCCTCTTAAAAGACACAAAAGAGAAGACACTACCCACATCAGCACAAGCCCCGATGAAAGCCATGGCTCAGGGCCTGGCACCCACAGAGCTCTGGCAGCAGAGGTTTCATGGTGAGGGGGTCCACCCCCTGTGCAGCTCCCAGAGCCTGGGGTAGGAGAGTAAAAGGGGCCTGCAAGGCCACTGGCCAACGTACCTTCGCTAGTGACGCCCTCTTCCAGGTCATCGCCCTTCTGTGGAAGAAGCAGAGAAAGCAGCATGAGGGCTCCTCCTGGCCTCACTTACCTGATTACCTTCGCCCACCTGTGGTCACCCTGGGGCAGCACTTACTGTGGCAACCCAAGCAACCCCTAATTTCCCCAGTTTCCGGATTTCTGTAATAGCAAAATACTATTCTTATTGGAAAAGTAGAATTTAAAAAAAAAAAAAAAAAGCAAAAACAAAAAAACAAATAGGTTCTAGGTTTTGATTACTCAGAAGGACCAGAAAGAAAAATCCAAAATGGTGCAGGCTGGGTTCCTTTCCTGGGGAGTGGAAGGCAGGATCCCAACCATCAATACTCTCCAGGTTCTGGGGAGAGGCCAGGGTGGCCACAGGAGGCTGAGGTGCACCAGCATCCCCAAACATGTTCCTCTGAGCAATGTCAGTTCACTGCCAGAGCAAAGTTCTGGGAAGACACTGTCCACGGCAAAACCTAGTTGCTGCTTGGGGCCTGGATGGCCCAGGTCCCCAGTAAGCACTTAGGCAGTAGGGCAGTAGGGTCTCTGTCCTCTGGAATTGTGTCCTGTAGCCTCCCACTTTGGCTCAGACCCTATACCCCTGCTGGCTCCTGAAGTCGATCATACTTAATCTTGTTGGAGAGCACAGTGGGGTTGTCTGGGCTGGGGAAGAGCAGCATGTTAAGGGCCTCATTGGGAAGATGCTAATGGGGATCAAAAAGCCCTGTGCTGGGTCAGGAGACCTGAATCCTTCCTGGCCCAGCCACTGACCTGTTATGTAACCTTGTTTGACACGTCCCTTCCCTTTCTGGACCTTGGGGCTCCTTCCTGCTCTGTCTTTGTAAGGGAAACTATTTTTTTTTTCCTAGGTATTCCTTAGGAAAGATTACAGGGTGCTTTCTTCCTCACTTGATACCTGGGTAACTGTCTCCTTTGACAATGAATGTCTTTGGAGAGCCTGGCCTTCCAGGGAAGAAGTGGTGAGAGACCCTAATCAGAGACCTTTTGTCCTTGTTTGAGAGGTAGCCTTGTCACTGGTCCACAGACCCTGTGATTGAAGCAGAAGAGGTTGTTCTGCTCTGGGGGCAGAGCCTACTAAGGAGGCAGCTAGAAGGAACAGATGAGATGTCTCCAGACCTGGAGATAATCCAACTAGCCCATGACCCTGGGAAAGTCACATTCCCCCATAGGGGACTTCATTGGCCACTGGCCAACTCCCTCATACCCCAGGGCTGCTGAGAGAGAAGGAGTTTTGTAAGGAACAGAGGATGGACCTGCTGCCATTTTCAGATGCATAATATCTTCAGCTTCTTATTCTATCTCTTAGGATGGAGACAACTATCTTTGGGACAGGGGTTCTTTTAAATCCAAAAACCCTAAAAGATATTAGGAAGGGGAATGACAGTAAATTTAAAACAAAACCAAACACTCAACTCATCTGTGTGTGTATTTCACAATTAAGAAAAGAAATGAGGGCATGAGAGCTGGGGATATAACTCAGTGGTACAGCACTTGCTTAGCATGCTCAATGCCATGAGTTCCATCCTAGCACTGAAAAAAAAATGTTAATAAAAAATAAAAATAAATAAAAAATGAAAGCCAAAACAGTAACAACAAAAAAGCCCAAGCCCCAGACACACACACACACACACACACACACACACACACACACACACATCCTTAAAATAGAAAAGAAACTGGGGAGGAGGTGTGTGCTGGCCTGCTAAAAGCTAGCCTCTCCAGCTCTGCTCCCATGGATGGTGTTATATCATGAGGGACCTGTCCACATCTGTACAAAACTGTGCAGGAGAGGGGCTGTGCACATAGCTGGCACCCATCCCTGACCTCCCAGAGTCTGTTGCATCATTCTGGCTAAGGCTAAGTGCTGGAGATGAAAGTGAGCTGTGATGAGCTGGTGGCTTCAGCAGTTGCGCCTACCCTGACTTCCCTCCTCTACCCACCATGATGGGGGCTCATGTCCTCCATGCCTGTCCTCAGAAGATCCTCTGCCTTGCCATACCCCACACACACAAAATAAAAAAGTCAAGTCTCACCAGGTCTGTCCTGAGCCACACCTCAATGTCGTCCATGACAGAGGGCTGCACAACGGGGATCTATGGAGGCAGCAAGCAGTAGGGCCAGGCAGCCCCATACAGCCAGGCAAGAGAAGACAGAACACCAGAACAAAATAAATCATCAACAGCAACCCCCAAATGAAACCAAAATGTACATAGTGCAAAAAAAACCACAACTGCATGGCACACATAGGCAGCACGGGGCAGCTACATATAAAACGGTAGGTGAGAAAAGCAATGAAGTGGCAAATGATAAGAAGCAGGGCTGACAGCAGGACTGTGGCAAGGAAGGCAGCAGTACATGTTCTTGAAATGGATAACTTTTTGACTATCTGTGTCTACCCTTGTATCAGAGGGTCTCTCTGCTGCAAAGCTTCTTCTACTCAGGAATGCGCTGGTTCTACAGCAGTCATGACAGCCAAGGAGAACCAACCTAGATGGTGACTCCTGGAGCCAAGATGAGCCCCCGTGCCATAGGAAAGGTCAGTGGCAGCCGACCCAGGAGCAGAGTGCAGAGCAGTGTCAGCCCTGGGAGACACCTGGGGCTCTGTTTGCTCAGCTGAATGGATTGCAAAATGCATCTATCTGGGTGGTGTGTTTGAATGGAAAAAGGAGCCAGAGGCATGTGCTCCACTGGTGTGGGTGTGGCGTGGTTGACAAAAAGCAGGCCCGCTTTACCAACAGAAACATGGCTAAGATGAGGACTTTAGTGACAAAAGGGACTGTAGGGCTTTAATCTTCTTTGAGTCTCTTTAGGGGAAAAAAAGTCATGCAGTAGCCCTGAATGCAACAGCTTCCTTTAATCTCATCTTTTCTTCCTAGCTTTCAACAGCAGTCTGTGCTTCAGTAGTCAAAGAAAAGAAGTTCATTGAAGATGGGGAGCAGTAGCCAGTGTGCCAGGGAGGTAGCAAGGCTCCCCCAAAAATCTCATGGATGTCTGAGAAATTGCCATGCCTGGGCCACCTGGACGTCAGTCCCCTAGGAAGATTCTGAAAACAATGTGTGACTAAAAACATTTAAGTTGCTGTAAAATATGACTATGATGAAATAAAAGTGGCCTTTAACCCCCAGAAGCCACATTGATGGGATGTTGGCTCTGAGCCTAGACAAATGAAGTGATGGCTCTTTATCAGGGTGACCTGCCTCCTTACCTACCCTGGGCCTGGGAGGTACCTTGTGGGGGACAGAGGGGTTCTTGCCCACTATTTCTAGAAAAAAATTGCCAGCCTCTATGTCTATAACTGGCTATACCCACAATGTCATGACCTAGGGTAAGAACAAAATTAAAACAAGCAGTAAGAGAACTGCCCCAGTGTAAACCAATAAACCAATTTTAAAAAATAACTCAGCCTTAACAAAGGAAAAGAACAAAGAATTGTGACCAGCCCCTTCAGGACAACTCTAGTCCTGGAAGTTGATACCTAATGCTGATAAGGGTGGGTGTCTGTGGTGCTGTGAGAGCTACTCACCCCCCTTCAGTGAGCTGGCAACCCTGGCTTGGCTCTGAAAGCATGCTCTGTGCTGTATCTTCAACAGGACATGGGTGGTCACATAGCATTTTCAGAATGATTCGAGCTACCCACTGACCAGATTAGGCAGTGTCTAAGCATTTTATCCCTTTAACTTACTGGGGACTTCAGATTGTTGAAATTGAAACATTTCAGGGAGTTCTTACCACCCTGACATGAATCCTAGGAACAAAGCATGTGAAGGCACATTTGGGGTGAGGGCATGGATATTCTGTGGTGTGCCAACAGTGCTTAAGGCAGGCACCCACCTTCCCCGACAAAGAGCAGCATGACACAGCAGGTACAAGCTGCTATCTGGCACTTGCTGGCAGGCCTTCTGCCTTGACACATTCCTGGAACAGGAGATGCCATTTTCATGATCATGCTGCCTATAAATCACAACGCCTGGCTCAGAGAGGACGTGTGCCATGCCGAGTCTCATCACTGAGGCTCAGAAAGTCAGTCGTTTCTCCAAAGAGAAAGTCAACCCATGGTAGTTGTACATAAGCCCTTCCTTTTCTCAGACCACCCAGGAGAAACTAAGACTCTGTAATGAGCTTTTTCTTTCCTTTTTTTCTCTTTTTTGCAGTGCTAGGGACGGAAACCCAGGGTCTTACACATGCGAGGCAAGCACTCTACCACAGAGGTTTTTTTGTTTGTTTGTTTGTTTGTTTGTTTTATGTGTTTGCAGAGCTTGAAAAGAGCTTTTAAGGGAGGCCATTGTGGTGGTGCACAACTATAATCCTGCACTCAGGAGGCTGAGGCAGGAGGATCATAAGTTCAAAGCTAGCATGGGCTACATAGTGAGACCCTGTTTCATAAACAAAACAAGAGCCTAAAGCCTTCAGTTATTGCTAAAAAAAAAAAAAAGAAAAATAGAGAGCTGGGTTGTAGCTCAATGGCAAACATAGGTTTCTTCTTTGAGTATTAATCTTGACAGCCAGCAAGCTCAGAAAATAAACATTGACATTTACAGAACTCCTCAACACCCCCCCCCAAAAAAAAAGTCCCACAGGCTGGATTCCGGGCACAATGTTGCTATCTTCCCTCGATGTGCTGGAGTGGATTGTGCTCATGTTTGTGGAACAGCACCCTCCAGACAAGTCCTGGGAGCCAAACTGAGCTGGGAGAGTACAGACGAGGGTAGGGCTGGGTTCCATGTGGGCCACAACCTTCACTGGTGTAGGCCTAGGGCAAGTTGCTTCTTTTGGACCCATTTCCTCACTGGGTAGCTCCAACCTCTTCTGTCATAAGAAGCCTTAGATATGTGGCTAGAAAGGCAGAAGCAAAGTCTGGCCTCAGTTTCCTCATCTGTGAATAGGGTGATTGTGAGATCATATTTAGCTTTCAACACTCACAAGTCAGGATTTCTTACTTTCCTAGGTGGTATTTTTGTTTCCTAATGCTGACACCCAGGGAGGTCAGATATTGGAACTCACTCTTTAAGGAAGGTACCAGGCCTCAGGGTATGAACAGCTGAGGAGCCAGGGTGCTGGTTATCAGCTGAGCTTATCTAATGTAAGGCAGGGTTGACTTTCTTGTGGGATGCAAAACCTTATCAATATAAACCTCCTGCTCTGGTGAATAAGTGCTGGAGTATTCCAATAGGGTCAAGTCCATTCTAATCATGCAGGTGCTGTCAGTGCCAGACTAAACATGTATGCTGTGATGAAAACAGGAACCACAGAGGCTAAGAGGGAAGGAGAAAAAGCTCCCCTCTTTAGGTTGATGGAGGGGAGGGAGGGGAACTAGTAAGGGAAGAGAGCTTAGGGAGTTGAGTCTTAGGGAACTGTGTGTCTTTTCCCTGTGGCTTTGGGAAAGTCACCAGGACCTTGAGAGGTGTCAGCATCAATCTGTCAAACCAGGGGCTAGACCAGAAGATCCTTAAGAAGAATGTTGGTTCTGATATGCTACAGTTTCAGCATTGTCTCGGGCACTGATCCAAACTGCAGGCTGGCCCAAAGGTTCCAAAGAAGAGTGGAACCTTCTTTGGACAAGGGAGCATTGGACAAGGGAGACAGGCAAAGAAGAGATATGAAGAAAGAACAGAAAGGAAAACATAGCTCAAGTGGTATGGCATTTGCCTAGTATGCACAAGGCCCTGAGTTTATTCCACAAAAGAAAAAAAAAAAAAAAGGAAGAGAAAGGATGCTACCCCAAAACACCCTCCCATAGAGACCTAGGCCTAAACCTGACTTTTGTGAAGAACGCAGCTGGGCTGGCAGGATGAGAGTCCTGGTAATACCAGTCTGCCCATATTCAGAGTCCAAAGAGAAGGAGGCAGTTCAGATGCTGTGGCAGGGAGGCAATGGGTAGCTGTCCTGCTGTTGGCTCTTACCTGGAGGGCAGGCAGGATCACTCTGCCTTCAGGAACAGAGAAGGAGAGAGGAACTGCCACCGGCTCAGCACAGCCAGTGCTCTTTGCAGCCTTGGCATGCTGTGTCCGAAGGTCTCCCAGGGTTACTGAGTGAGAGGGGCCTGGACATCCCCAACTTTAAGCTAGGCTTTGGCAGCAGTGGATTCTTTTCACTAATCTACTTTTCTTGCTTTGATTTATATTTGGTTAAACCAGGGCATCTTCCTGGGTACAGCCTACAAATGGGAGCTATACCCCAGTTGATCACAAGCCAGGAAGAAGCACAGAAACCCCAGGGGTCAGAGAGGCAGGGAAGGGAGAGTCACTAGCTCAGTATTGGCTCATGCTGATCTTTTTTCTCTTCAACTGGCAGTGGACCTGGTATGGGGAGCTAACTTTTGTACTGGATGTCTTCACACTTGAAGTCCCACGAGAGGAAGGCCCCAGTGAGGTGCTCCTCCACAGCTTCATGCAAAGAGACCCACCCATCTGATTTTCAATGCAACAAGAGCAAGTCTGCAGCTCAGGCGTGCTATTTACGGAGTAGCTGTGAAACTCTCCCTATGACACTTCAACCAACCTAACAAGAGAAACAGTCTACAAGCCTCTGGTCTCACTCAATAGTACAAAAAGTTTCCATGAAAAGAATTTGTACTCAGGAGGTTTGGAAAAACTCAGGGTTTCTACACTATGTGAAGTAAGGCAAAGCAATTAATATACATTATTTTAAAGAAAAAAAAATCTGCAGGCAGGAAAGTGAGACACCAGATTAGCTGTTAGTTGGGTTTGGTTCTGGGAAATTGGAGATTGGAACTCTACATGGAGACAGATCAGTGGGGAGGCAGCCTGTGTGGGCAGAGGCAGATACCACTATGAGCTGCCAAGGCCATACCCAGGGCAGTTTGGGAGGGCAGTATCCCTTTTTGCAGGACTAATAGGCACAAGAGCACGTGGGCTGAATCCTCCCAATTTGGACAATGAAGCAGACATGATTTCCAGGAACCTGCTCTAAAGCCCGAGCTCAGCCTGTCCCTGAAGAAGCAAATCAGGGACCTGGCCAGTCCACCCTTCCAGGAATGCAGGAAGAACTGCCTTCTCACTCAGGGCAGGAGTGTGTTGCTGCTGTGACCAGGCTGGCCTGAGCACCACTATGCACAGGCCATCAGTCCTTGCTCAATCAGGCAGCTCCTGTGCTGCCTATAGCCTGAGACCTGCTGGCCCTGCCTGCATATCACCTGTCTCTAGCCCTACCCACCTGGAGAGCAGAGGTTCACATGTCTACTGCTGTCACCAGTTTTCCTCCTCTGCATCTTTGCCTGTTCTGATCCTACCACATGTACTCAGAATTTTGGCTCTGTTGGAGGTAAAGTGGTCACCCTGAGGCAAACAACTTGGGATGAGGCCACCTTCTCTCTATGTACCAGACCTAGCGCCACCTGAACAGATGAGACAGGACAGACCCTCCCAGGACTCTATGTCACAAAAGCACCAATACTTAAGAACTGACCATGCTTATGGTATTAGGCTTCCCAGTGTTGTCTTCTTTTTATTCTGTTCCTACGGTGTGTGTATGTCTTTCTGTAAATGATCTCAAATCCTTTGGGGAGACTTAGTGGATGTAAATAACTATATTATAAAAATCCACCAAGCCTAGGACTGCCAAATTTCCAGGCACGGGGCCATCTCCAACTGGCCAGATACTGAGTCTGCTTCCTTGTGATTATCCCCTCTCCCCTCCCACCCCCCTACCCCCCCGCCAGCACAACCCACAGTGACTTGTGCTTATCCCGGAAAAAGGAATACTGCCAGAGCTCCAGAGACAGTCAGAGGATGGAAAGGCCCTCCCCTCACTCCTGCTAATATCATAGACCCTGAAGGCCAGAGGCACAGGCCTCAGCAAACCAGAGACATTTCTGGGGCTGGAAGTCTGAGGCCTAAAGAGATTATACACAGACAGGAGAAATCTGGCACCCCTGTCAGAAGGAGCAAGTATGGCCATATGCTGTCTGATCACAAGGACCTGGCAGATGGCAAGAGGAAGGCACTGACTCTTACACAGGTGAGGGGCTGGGGTAGGCAGCGGGCTTGCTCAGCTGTGGCTCCTCACCATTCCTTGGGTCATGAGCCAGCTGTCTATGGGCTCCAGGTCAGAGTCCCCACCTTTCCCTCTCTGCTGGGCCAAGGACAGGAAAGTCCCAGAAAGAAAAGTCACAGCAAGACCCATGACAAAGAGGTCATAGCACATATTGTGGAAACAGAAAAGTCAGTATTCAGACTTGATCATTTATCATGTTAAGGAAATGTGACCCAATTTCCCCAGCCTCCGCTTTGTCATGTCCCCCTTACCTGCTTGAAAAGAGAAGGAAAGTTTAGTAACCATGAATCCCACCACGATAACAAATACTCATTCTGACTACTCCTGAAAACCTGGAAAGTCTCTATGTGGTCACAGGAGGTTACACCAGGAATGTCAGAGTAGACAAAGGGTCAACTTTCAAAGAATACAAGTCTATAAAATCATTTCTACTTTTTTCTAACTTATTTCTCCATTTTTTTCTCCTTTCTAGTTTCTTCTTTCTTTTTTTCCTAGATTTTTAACTTGAATGATGAATTCAGGAATATTCTTTATTTATTTTTTTTTTTGACAGTACTGGTGTTTGAACTCAGGGTCTTACACTTGCTAGGCAGGTGCTCTACCATTTGAGACACACTGCCAGCATTTTTTGCTCTAGGTGTTTTTCAAATAGGGTCTCACTTTTAAGCCCAGGCCAGCCTGAGCTGTGATCCTCCTATTTACACTTCCTGTGTAGCTGGGATGACAGGCACACACCATCATGTTCAGCCATTGGCTGAGATGGGATCGTGTAAACTTTTTGCCCATGCTGGCCTTGAACCATGATCCTTCCTATCTTTGCCTCCTTACTCAGGAGTTAGGATTATAGGCATGAGCCACCATGCTAGGCTTCTCTTTCTTCTACTGGGCTTCTCTCCCTCCCTCCCTCCCTTCTCTTCCTTCCTTCCTTCCTTCCTTCCCTCCCTCCATTTATTTATTTGGTGCTGGGGATAGAACCCAGGGCCTTGTATATGCTAGGCAAGTACTTTACCACTGAGCTACATCCACAGCCCAGCTTTTTTTAAAATGATAAAAATATTTAAAATTTACATTACAGCTGACGTGTAAGATCATACTTGTGGAGAAATAATTATACAACATGCTCTCCTCCTTTATTGTGTTTTCATTTTCTCCCTTGGCCCAGTGTCATTTCCAGGTCAGCATTGATTGGGAAGGGTCAAGGCAGCTTGCAGAATGTGAGTGTACACACACAGCTAACACATGCCCTGACACCCTGTCTCACCGAGGCTGTGCCTAACCCCAATAAGCAGAAACAGGAAACACAATTTGCCTACCACCACAGGGAAAACATGACAGAATCATCAAGACCTTTGAAAAACAGGTAGCCATGTACCCACAGGGTAAAGGGAAAGAACTCATCCACATCTCCTAGACTTGGACCCAGACCTGGGCACTGATAATGGCAGGAGTTGGGCAGGACACATGTTAGCATGATGGGGCAGGCTCTGGAACCAGAATGGAGAGCAAACAGCTTGGCTGGGGGATAAGGCTGCTCCAGACCAGGGTCAACCAGGACGAGGGGATGTCCTCACTAGGCAGTACACTAGTAGGGTCCCCAGCCCAGCTTTCTAGGGAGGGTTAGGTGTGAGGGCAGTTTAAGGAATGGGGGAAAGAACCAAAACTTGCACTGATGCCGATAGCCCCTGCTGTGGAAGGACCTAGGGTCCTGAGAAACCAAGGCAGCAGGCTGGCTCTTCTGCGACCCCTGGCGACCAGTGCACAGGGACACACTGCAGATAAGAGTGGGCTGGGCCAGCTCAGGAGAGTCCCTTTACCCAAAGGTGAGTTTTTCTGAGATGCCAGGCAGTACAGCGATATGCCAGGCAGCAGCCAAGCTGCTTGCCTGGGCCCATTTGGACAGGAGCTGCAAGAGTCTAGGAACTGATATTCAGGAAGCAAAAAGCCATTTACAAACTTCCCTGTCCAGTGGATGGATGGGCACTGCCCCTTTCAGCTCAGCCTAGGGAACTGTGGTGAGAGTTCTAGCTGTGGTGGGAAGCAAATATGCCTTTGTTTGCCCATACTTCCTAGTCAGGCTCTCAGAGAAAAATCTCCTGAGAAGCATTAGACACAAATCCTTTCCCTTCTGTGATCTGAAATCTTATAGAAACCACATTGTTCTTTGGGGCTTACATAAATGCCATCCTCCACTTCAAAGTGTCTCTCCCCTTAACTTTGCTCCTCCCAAGCCTAGAGCTTCCCAGGATACCCTCTTAGCCACCCCCAGCCTCCCCATCTTCCTAAACAAGTCCTGACTTTCAACTGCTTTCCACTGGAGTTGAAATTTCTTGGCTAGGCCAACTACTGATTGTCAGAGAGTGGCTCAGGTCAGCCACTTGTGAGGGCCATACCCATCCCCAGGGTACTATAACATGGGGGGAGAGCCCCTATTTGGCCATAGGAGACCTGTGTTCCAAAAGCTTTGGTCACCATGATAGGAAGACCAGAAGCCATGGAGCTGGCTCTCTAGATGTCCTTGGCCTGTCTCCTGCCTTTAGGGGCTGGTTTCCTGAGTATTACAGGAATATTACCTCACATGGTAGGTGAGACTCAATGAGACACTACCTGCTCTGGGGCTCTCCTCCAGCATGCTCCCACCATCTACATAAGCCATCTGCTACTAATTATCCAGCCACCTTTACCAAACTGCCTGCCTTTCCCTCCAGAAGACTCTGGGCAGAAGACCAGGTGAAGACCTACCACTTCCGAGCTCTGTTTCCGACTGTCTAGAGCAGAAGCAAGTCCTCCAACAGCCTGGGGATCCTCATAGGTGACCCTGGAGACAAGCAGCACAGCAGAATTATTTTTCCACCAGTGGTCGCAGTGACCTATCATTACTTTCTATCCCATGGCAAATTCTCTGGTGTGACATTGATTTGGGCACAGGCTAAGGGCTCATGCTGTCTGTCTCCCTACAGCTAAAGCAAGGAGAGTGGGTTTTAGCACAGCTCACCATAAAGTCCTCTGGGACCTAGGATATTGTGAAAGTCCCTTTCTTGAGTAACAATACTGGGATCTCTCTGAAGTTCAATGTCAGGCTATCAAAAGTGCCCTGAAACTCCTCAGAGGGAGGGGCTACATGAAGGCAAAGTGATATTAAATTTTGATTTTATAAGCAGCCTTTAGGCTAAACAGAAAGTTCCAAGCATATTCTATGCCTCCCTAAGATGTGGGAGAAGGGTTCTATTTTGGAATCAACACCCCCAGTTCCATATGGCTCCACCTTGCCCGAGTCACTACTGGAGAAGTCTCTATCTGGACATTATTTTTGGCAGTTGAATCTTTTTGTTTGTTTGTTTGAGATAGGGTCTCACTATGTAGCCCAGATCAGCCTCCATCTCATGATCTTCCTGTTTCAGCCTCTGAGTGCTGGGATTGTGGCCATGCACCATGATGCCTGGCAGGTAGTTGAACATTACTACAAGAAACCTGTCTGGGTCTCCATCTGGCTGTACCCTTCCACATCTGAACTCTTGCAGATGAGGGACTGAGGCCATGTCTATAGCCACAGCATGGGAAGGAAAGAAGAGTAGTCTCTTGTGAATAAGAGAATGATACAAAGTCAACCCTAATAGCAGAGTAGAGTAATGGAGGTGAGCCTAGCATTCATTCAACATCACAGCAAATGCCAGCTCCTCACAGTCATATTCTAAAGTTCCTGTCAGTCTTAGATCTGATAAATAAGAGGCTTCTTTGTGTTGGTCTAGGTCCACTCCCCTTCACCCCCAGCCATATATTTCCAGAGCCACTGGAAGGGGCCCCCACATACGTCTTGCGCTGCTCAGCCAAGGAGTTTCCTCTGGTCTGGGCAAACATGTCAAAGCCGTCACGAGGATTACACTGCTGGAGTGAACTAAGGGTGCCACTGACGCTCTCTGTCCCCAAGTCTGTGACAAGAAAACAAGAGGCAATGAGAACAAAACATGAATTGTGAACCTGATGAGGGGCCTCAAAGCCAGGATGCCAGTCACGTTAAGGATCTATGGAGGGACAAGGCTGTCCTTAGCAGCACATGCAGGAGGAGCTAGGGCAGGTCCAGTTGGGAGACAGGACAGCCACTGCTCCCTAGAATGCTCAAGGAGGGGAACAGGTATCACAAAGGGAACGGAGACTAGAGTGAGAAGAGAGACTGTTGGCTACAGGGCCAACACACCTGTAGCTTTACCACCATGCCCTGAGCACTCCACATTCACTCAATCATGGTGCCTAAAGACCTGGGCCATTTATTTATTTGGCAGATACTTTTAGGCACCCACCATGTTCAGAGCCAGATCTCAAGTGGACCAGGTGGACTCTGACATGGTTCTTGGTCTCAGAAGCTCACTGAGTAATTGTAGAAGAACTTTCCAGATGGGAGCTAGACAAACGCCTGCAGTGCTTGCCTTGAGATGTTGGGAGAGACTTGAAGTCCACATAAAGGTGAGTCATTCAAGATGAGTGGGACTATAACTGCAAGGAGAAGGGGAAGAAGACAGGGACAAAGGCACAGGGTCTAGAAGGCCAGGCTATGTGAAGTACCAGCCCTCACACAGAAATGAGAGGAGGAGGAGGCTAGAAAGGCATGTGGGCTATGGCTGATGAAGCCTCAAATGCCAAGTGAAAAAACAGACATTTTTAAGAGGAGAGGTAGCAGAATTTTTTTTTTATGGTACTAGAAAGCAGAATTTTTGAATTTTAGGTATTAAATCTGGTGGCCATAAACTAGATGGATTAAAGGCACAGAAATCTGTTTTGATAGGAAAAGACTGCTATAGAGACAGGAAATGGTGAAATACTAGAATTAGAGCAACTGACAGGCCACTAAATAAACGGTTAATTCAAATGAAATGAAATGAAGGGGGAAAGAGAAATATTAAGGAAAAAGGAAACAGAAAAGCAAGATAGAAGAAAGAATTTTGAGGGCCATGCTTGTTATGTCAATATTATAATTTTATTTGTTATAAGTTGGTATGTATCATCTAATATAAATGAAGCATCCAGAGACATATACACACTTTCATTGTAGGAAAGTGAGATGTTTCTCCTAAGTTTCAGAGACTTTAGGTTGATGGTATAGTTTTAGGAAAGCAATGATGTCAGTGCCACTACTTCCTGTTTCCCAGTCCACTGTAAACATCACCAATCAATCACAGAATCATTTTAGGCCCTGATGTGGCTTCGGCATCCTTCTCAAACCTATGTTCTAAGCAGCCAGTGAGGTGAAACCTATTTGCCATCCTTAGCCTAGTTAATAGTGAAAAACCATAGGGAATATTCCATATAAAACAAGGAAGGCTGCCTTTTTTAAAAAAGCAAACAATTGCCAGGTGCTGGTGGCTCACGTTTATAATCCTTGCTACTCAGGAGGCAGAGATCAGAAGGATTGGTTCAAAGCCAGCGCTGGGCATAGTTTGCGAGACCCTATCTCGAAAAAAACTCATCAACAAAAACAGTGGCTCGAGCAGTAAGAGTACCTGCATAGCAAGCATGAAGCCCTGAGTTCAAAATGCAGTGCTGCCAAAAAAAAAAAAAAGCAAACTGCCAGGTTCACACCTGTAATTCTAGCTGCTTTGGAGGTGAGATCAGGAGGATTGTAGTTTGAGGCCACACCAGGCAAATAGTTTGTGAGTCCCCATCTCCTAAACAATCAGAGCAAAATGGACTGGAAGTATGGCTCAGGCAGTAGAGTGCCTGAGTTCAAACCCCAATCCCACCAAAAAAAAAAAGGCAACTTCCAAATCCTGGGAACTTCCCCATCCCTGCTTTTCAACACAGGTTTAAACTTCAAATTTAGGGAAAGTAATTCCGAATTGAAGGTAGTAAAATTGGCTAGGACTCAGGAACACATCTTCACATGGATTCCACAAAAAGCTCTCTTCTGGTCTTCCAATAGAGAAATGTGGCCAGGGAGGGAGGCCCTTTCCTCTACTGTGAGACACTTACACTTACCCAAGCCTGCAAGCTGGGATGAAAGGGAAGAAGGGGTTGCTGTGCTCCCCACCATGGGGCTCACCACAGCAGGAGAGCCAGGGCCCAGGTCTATTAAGTTGTCTTCAGTCACTTCATTCAGTACCTGTCAGGACATAAGATTGGGGGTGAGATCCCAGCCCTTGGGTAAGGCTCTGAGGTTTAAGTTAGCAGGGAACTGTGCAGGGCTCCATGCTCCAGGAAAGGTATCAATGCCTAGCACAGACACAAGGTGGATCCTCTCCCCTACCTTCAGGGTATACAATGGTCCCAGGCTGTCAGTGAGCCCTATGCCCTGGCCTCCTCTCCCTCCCCACTTACAGCAGTTGCACTGAGTCACCAGGATGGTGAGTGTCCTGGGAGCTGTGGATAGGCTTCCTTCCATCCTTCCATCCTCCCATCAGGATGCCTGCCAGCAGTCTTCCTTTAAATAGAGCTTGCTCTGCAGTTACCCATGCATTTTAGCCCCAATTAGAAAACTAGAAGTGGGGCCCAAGTGGGGCAGGTCTCTATGGGGGGGGGGTAGGTTTCAGGAGATGAGGGAGTTCCAAAGGACACTTACTCCATTGCTGGCATTCTGAACTGATCGGCCTGACCTGTACCGCTCGAACCTGACAGGGAAGGGAAAGCAGAAATAAGGAGTGAGTGAGGCTGTACCCACCATGCTCATTATCCTGTGAAGAGCAATGAGGACCAGTAGAGGCCAAGGCTCCTGGGAAGGGCACTAGCCAGTCCTATTTGGGGAGTAGAATGAACTCAACATAAAACTGTGCCATATCTTCCTCTGTGTGGGATCTGCCCTAAGGATGTTCAGTCTCCATGGGCATACTGAGTAGGAATCAGTGGCAGGGTGTTGACTGGCACATGGAGGAGGTCAAAAGAAGCATCTCCAGCTGTCCCTGGCCCCAGAGCTCCTCTGACCCCTGAAGTGGGCCAACCACTTTGCCTCAGGCATCCCAACGTCTGTATATAAGGCCAGGCAATAACTGCATACCTCTCCCTACTTTGCAGAGCTATAACAGACAGAAGAATGGCACAGGGCCCTGGCCATGATTGTTAGAAAGGCTCTCCAGGAACTGAGGAAGTTTGGGTGGACATCTTTTCACACACACATACCAGGAAGGCAGGGCAAGTCTCTCCACACACTTAGAGAATAGATGTCTGCATTTGAGGCTTGGCTGTGGGCAGTGCAGAAAGCATTCTCTCTGCCACCAAGTCATCCTCACAGCAGGTGGGGGATGAAGAAACAGTTGTGAGGTGTGCATGGGGATAATAGATCCTGTTCTGCATGGGGATAACAGATCCTGTTCTGCATAGTATATAAAAGCTCAAAATGCCATGGACAAAGAGACTTTATCTAGCAAGAACCTGAGAAGCCAGGCTTTAGACAAGTGCATTGGTCTACAATGCTGCCCATTTGCCAGCATCAGTGCCTGGGGACAAGGGATCCCCAGAAGGGACAATCTGATAAGGCAGTATATGTCCACTGTGGTTTTAAGAAAACTGTGTGGCCAGGTGAGATGATGCATGTGGTGGCAAACCAATCCCAGCACTTGGTTCATCTTTTTTGTTGTTGTTGTTTTTAGCAGTATGTGGGTTTCAACTCAGGGCCTCCTGTTTGAGAGGCAGGTGCTTAACCACTTGAGCTATACCTCCAGTCAATCCCAGAACTTGGAAGGCAGAGGCAGGAGGATTGCCACTGGACTACACAGTGATACCCTGTTCCCAGCAAAACAAAACAAAGCAAAGCAAAACAAAACATCATCTCATCAAAAAAAAAAAATTAAAAAGAAAGATGTGTAATTTTATACAGTGGTCTATAAGGAGAATGGAATATTAATATATCTGAGAAGTTCTTAATCTTAGGGTGCCTTTCCCACAAGTCTGAGGAACCTTTAATCTTACCAAAAGCACTCTAACCAGGATGGCACTTCAGAGCTGCTGACCTCAGTGGTGCCTGTGAATTCTTTGGAACTCTGGGACTAGAGGATTTATGGATAACAACACCCACATTAGCTCCTGTTATCCTAGTTCATCAAGGGCTCAAATGGTTCTAACAGGTCTCAACCCAGCCTTAGCTAGTGTGGGGAAACTAAAACCTCATAACAAGACAAGAAGGCTGTGGGCAGGGAGCTGGGCACTCAGATCTGCTCCTGTCCTCCAACTGGGGGCTGCTGGTGGCCCTATACTTTTATTGCAAAGGTATCTTCATCTTTCAGATGGCACAGGGCCACCCATCCCTAGTGCCACAGTTAGAAACTGAGACAATTCTGGGTGTGACAACCACGACATTACCCTCTGAGCCCCCAAAGGATAATGCAAGTACAGTATACATCCCCCAACCCTAAATGATTCCAGATCCTTGTTCTCCTGACAAATCAGTGAAGTAAGCTGTGGGTCAGCTGGTGGGTAGAGGGGCCAAGACTGAAACTCTCCAGGGACTCAGGTTGCTGTCAGGCCCTCTTGGGCTTCAGCTTTAATGGAAGAAGGTTCGTCTGGTCAAGGTCTTTTCTTGTCCTGACCCAGGGCTATCAGAAGAGCCCAAGGTGCACCCATCAGGGGGCAGGGATAGGAAGTGCATTTGCTATTGTACCGCCTACTTAAAACTAGGTTCAAATGACACATTTCAGACTTTGTCCCTAGGAAGGCTTTGGAAAAAGAATTTGCAGGTTTGTTACCTCAAGCCCCAAGTGATGTGGTTATGGAAAGAATGTAAAGGAATGTGTGTTTTGCCTGAGTAGCAGCAGCAGCACTTCAACACTCCCACCCTGCCTGCTTCTTCTGAACACTCCAGACACACTGACATTTACAAAGGGGAAGCTCTTCTTTTTTTTTTTTTTTCAAGATGGAAAAGAGGAAATCCTTTTTCTTAGTAGAGTTTTTTCCCCCTTTAATCCTTTTCAAATTCAAAGGATCATCAAAGGAGCAGGTGCAGAAGCTCCAGGTCCAGACCCTCCCCCACCCAGTCCTTGCCCTCCCTGGGGCTGGAGTGGTGGGAGAAAGGCAGAACAGCCTGAGGCTTACAAAGGGCAGAGCTGAATTCTTCACATCAACTACCTGCTGCCTGTTCCCAGGAGAACAAGAAGTATTTTCTCTGTCATCTGGGAACAAATTAGCATCTCTGATGAGAATTTTCCAACTCTAATCTCTCTCTCTCTTTCTTTCTTTCTCTCTCTCTCTCTCTTTCCCCCTTTGTTTATCAAATCCTTCTGTTATGGCAACATTCTTTTCAAGGGAACAAACAAAAAGGACTCTGGCCCCCACCTCTCATAGCGGAGGAAGACATTGTTGAGGTCATCATTGACATGTAGTAACTCCTCAGTGACCTCCTCGTTGGATACGCGGGAGATGAGCTCCACGATGCGATGCTGCATGGCCCGGCAGGTCCTGTTCAGCTCCTAGGGAACACACGCACCTCTGCATAGCCTGCTGGGAATGCTTTTTGTCACATTCTATTGCCTTTGAAAAGATTTGTACTGATTCTTTAAAGTCACGGAAGGAGTACATGCTTGTTCATAAAACTAGACGTGTGCAGAATGCAAAGTAACAGCTCCTGCTTTGCGGCCTTGCCACCTCCCTTCCTGCCTCAGAGGAAACAAGTACTTTTTCAGTAAAGGGACAAATATCCACATGTACATAAACTGTTATTTATATGCATTTGTACAAATCATTTTTAATATATTAAAAGTGTAATTCTTTGGGCTTGCTTTTTCAACAAAATCTTTCAGGCCCCTTTCTCCATCACTTTGTACAGACTTTCCTTTGTGTGTGTATCACAATGTAGCTTACCATTCTACTATTGTCTGCTATGTGGCTTGGGGTATTTTTTTTTTTTTTTTTTGGCTAACCCAAATAATGCAGGAATGAACACTTGTACACATACATGCTTCCATACTTGGGCAAGCACTTCCATAGCATGAGTTCACCAGATGTGCAATTTCTGTATGAAAACATTATGTGTGGCATTTAGAATATTGATTGGTAATAATAAAAGGCCCTTCAAAAACATGGGATCAGGTACTTATATTTCTGGAAATAGCATGAGTAGATTTTATGACCTCAGTAGATACCTTGTGACGGAATATCTGTCACCTTGCTGAGGTCTCAGAAGCTCTGCAAGCTCCCTGAGAGCTTCCTACTGGCTAAGGATGACACTGCAACTCCCAGTCACCATAGAAGAACTCTTAACCCTTGGAAGCAATGTCCCCTGAAGACAGAGCCTTATACCTCAAAGGTTCCTCAGAGACTCCTTGATACTGGGCTTGCCACCTTGCCGGGCCTATCTATCAGTCTATTACAACACTGCTCTTTGTCCTGGTTCTACTCTCTGCACAGCCAGAATGGTGCTGTCAGACTCTGTCACTGCAGAAGGAAGCCCAGTGTTGGGACCTTCCAGATTTTTTTCTGAACAGACTCCCATTCTTGGTTCTCCTAAGACTACCATCTTAAGTTTTGGAGAAGGCAATGTCATCTCTGAAGCAGGCCCTACAGGTAAGCTACCATACCCCCAGCAAAGGCAGACCGCTCCCCCCACATAGGCCCAGGTCAGGAAAACACGGCCTCATTTGGTGCTTATGACCAAGCAGTGAGCCCTGGTTGCCCTTGGTTGGATAAGAAAACAGTCAGTTGTCATCTGAATTGCAGGCCCTCAACAAGATGCAGGCAGACCTGGGAGTCAGAGAAGTATCCGGCATGTTGTATGAGACAATTCCAGCGCCCTCCAGAGGTTTGGAGCATTACTACCCATGGGTCATCTCCAAACATACCCTAGACTCTCAAGGATGGCAGGTGGCCTCAGGATATAACACACTGCTCAGAGGCCTCTAAGAAGTTGGCCCTCTGTCAGCAATATCACTTCTTTTCCATCAAACAAACTCCTACTCATCCTTCAAGACCTCAGGATGCTTTCTCACCCCAGAATTTCATCATGAAAAATTTCAACCACATAGCAAAATAAATATACCACCATGCACATTCTATAGCACCAACTTTGGCACATGTCTCCCACTTATCCATCTCCCTTTCCACTCAGAATGTTTTCTGGGAATCCCTGGCCACCCCCCTTTCTTTAAGACTCCCACAGCATTCCAGGCACGGCTTGACTTTAGCTGTCATCAGAGTTCCTCTAGTACAGCTTCAAGTGATGACCAGCCCCAACCCACCCCAGAAAGCAGAAGTCTAGGACAAAACCAGGCTGCCAGATGGCAATTGGATTCAGAGGAGAGCCATACAGAATTCCTCAGAAGACAACAGGAGTGCTTTAGAAATCTGGCTGTAGAGTCAGGAATGGTGTCACATGCCTATAATTCCACCTGCTCAAGAAGCAGAGGTAGGAGAACTGCAGTCCAAAACCAACCCAAGCAAAAGCACAAAACCTTCTCTGAAAAACAAACTAAAAGCAAAAGGATTGAGGGTGTGGCTCAAGTGGTAGGAGGCTTGCATAGCAAGCATGAGGCCCTGAGTTCAATTCCCTGTACTGCTAACCAAAAAAAAACCAAAAAAACAAAAAACACAAAAAGCCCTATACAAACAATAAGCAAATAAAACACAAGCATCAGGACCTCTAAGTGGAAGAGGATAGGGGCTTTTCTCCATCTTCCTCACAGAGTCCCATCCAAGCTGGGTGCTGGGACCAAGCAGAAGAAGCAACAGCAGACTGGATATGCTCTCCATATCTCCAGGACTGTGCTTCTCTCTGTGTGAAATAAGGGGATTACACACCTGAGGAGTTTTGCAGAGCGCCATGAGGTGCCCCAGGTGGGCAGGGCAGCTCTGCTCTTATCTATTTTACATATTGCTATACTCCACATAATTTTGTTTGTGGAGGAAAGTGTTCTATTACTTTCAAAACCTGTTTGGAAAGTGCTAGAGGACTTCTGAGGCTCTCACATTATGATTTCAGCTTGGAAGAAACATCTAAGCATCAGAAACATCTGCCCTCTGGCCTTGCATTTGCTGCCTCTCTCCTAACTGCCTTCCTGCTGGGGTGGTAGCTAAGATGGTCCCCACTCAGCAGGCAGTCTTGCAGGCTCCCATCCTGGAGGGGTACACTAATGGCTTTCCCAAGTGCTCTACCTAGAGACGGGTTGAAAGACTCTGTCCTTCTGCATCAGGGATCTCTGCACAGAGAAAGTTTTAACCTTTTAAGTTACTATATAAAAAAGGAAGCAAAAAGAAAAGAGATGGTCAGAACCACTGTGCTAGCTAATCACCCACATGGCTTCCCTGGTGTCATCCACAGCCAGTCCCATAGCAGGCTCAGTTGGAGACTCCTCTGTCTCCCTCTGCCTCTACACCACCCAACACAGTGACTCTCTTCTGGGCTTAAGGGACCTAGGAGCCAGCAGCTTGCCTTGGTTACCCTTCCAACTACACAAAAGCTGGGCCAACAATTCCCTCAACTCTGAAGACTTCAGCTTTGGTCTCCTCTTATCTCTGGTTCTTAACAGAGGGAGGAAACAGCTGGTCACTTGTGCAAAAACCCTCTGACAGAACACCTTACTAAATAAATTGTAAGAGATGTCATTCCCATCTCACAAAGCAGTCTTTTTTTTTTTTTTTTAAATCATCTTTGTGGGTTTCCTCTGAACTCTCTTTCAGTTTGAAGGAACATAGAATGTAATCCTGAAGATCTGCTCTGTTGCTGCAAAGGAGTTGGGAGAGAGAAGAAAGTCTGATGATGAAAAAGGAGAAATAAGAAGCTAAACATGTAAAGTAAACTAGATTTCTCTAGGGAAAATGACTTGGCCATTCTGTCTTTGTTGAAATGAGATGCAAAAAACAAGTGGGGGTGGGATATGCCATCTGCTACTTGAAGGAACAACATGGAGGAGAGCTTCTTTTATCATCTGTTGGTAGCCATATAAGAATGTCCATCTTTGGCACCACTGGATTAAAAGTTATCAGTAACGAAAGACAAAGCTTGAAAGGCTGAATTAGGAGAGAAGAAGGCACCAGATGATGGAATCAGGATCTTTCAAGATCTCAGAAAGTAGCACTCAGTACAGCTAAGGGCACACACTTGAGATGTAGCTTCACATTTGGGCCTAGGCCTAAACATCCATGCATAGAATGAGGAAGATGGCTTAACAGCCACATAAGGAGACAGAGCAGGGTTTTCAGTGACAGAGGCTCTCCATTTGGCAATGTCTGCCTCCTGTGATAGGCCACCTGTTCATCTATAAGATAGGCAGGCTGCCAATAGCCTCACCTGTTCCCCACAGACACTGGGCAGTGACTAGGGCTTACTGCAATATTAATATACTAATACTTAGTCCTTAATACTTAAGGACTTACCCATGTGAAAGAGGAATTCATTTTGTTCTGTTGTCTAACACAGGCCAAGTCAAAGATACAGGGAGACAGTTCAATGGGCAGAAGGGTTTTCCAATAATGGTCGTGGACACTATGATTTGTGGAGGACTTGCCCTGTGCCAGCCACTTCCATGGTGAAAGCAATTACTCCCGGCCACTGAGGGGGGAAAAAAGGGCTCCAAGAGGACCAGTGCCTTGCCCAGAGTCACCCAGCTAACAAGTTGAAGAGCCAGGATGTACACCCACTGATTCATAAGCTGTATTCTCTACCCTGCTGTGCTGTTCCCAAAGTCTAATCAAGACGCATATCTGAAACTGAAGTGCTTCTATGGGCTGCAGGAACAGCCTGTCACTGGGGAAATGAAGAAAAAACAGGAGGGCACTAGACAAGGTGCTAGACAGGAAACCTGAGCATGGGTATGGAGCTGGACTAGCTACCTAGAAGGTCACTCCCAGCTCAGAGAGTGAAGAGCTTAACACCTGGCCTGAGTGCTGTGTCCACTCCAGGCATCCTATTTCTTTTTTCCTCAGGGGCTCCAGCTAAGCCAACAGCACAGAGTGCTAGAGTGGCCCCGGCTGCTCCTCAGATACCAACCACCTGCCCAAGGGTCCTCAGGCAAATCATTCATATGCTTCCCTGCTGCTCTTGCCAGGCTATGGAAGGATATGTCTGAGAGAAATTTGCCATGTGCAGGAAGCAATCAGGATATAACCTGGCCACAATTATGATCAGCCACCAGTGCATCCTGGGGCTGACACCTCCAATTACCTCTCTTCCCCCTCCTTGCCAGCAATTTACACTCAGTCAGGAACAGCTTCTGTTGGCAGGGACATTTGGGTTGGTGACAAATGTGTTTATTTCCACGGCACTGGCCAGCACTCTGAGCTCTGGACTGCTTCTGCCCTGAGCACTCTGGCTGTCTTCCAGCTTGGTTGAGGGGTTCTGGGGATAGATTCTGACCTCAGCACTTTCCAAGCAGACTGTGGCATTTTCCTATGTGGAAGGTTTGTCATTGTATGCAGCACTGACCCTTGGGAGCCCCCTACTCTCTGGCTTCTGCCTGCCAGGCAGAAGAGGAGGGAAGAAGTCAGGCACGTGGACATCAGCCAAGAGTCTGTTCACACAGGGCTGCCCACTCCAGCATCTCCCGCGCTGAAAGGACAGCCTCCCACGGGCACCCAGACTCGGTCTTTTTCTGCTTGATTTATACGACAGCAGTGAGGGCTGGTAGGCTCAGAGTTGGAACAAAACAGAGGGAAGGAAAACGTCATGGGAAGCAACCTATTTTTGAAAACTGAGCTGACGCCAGGAGATTAGGTTCTGTTTGTCTTGGCTGATGGGCTTGTTTAAAAAAAAAAAAAAAAAAACCACACACAACACACACACACACACACACACACACACACACACACACACACACGGTATTGCTGCTGCCTGGGTCTGCTCTGGTTGTCTGGAAGCATCTTGGCTTTGTTCAATCCACCCCCTGCTGCCAGGAGCGCAGCTCTGTCCAGAGCAAACCCCTCTGTCAGCAGGAATTCCAATGCTGATACAGCACAATGCTGCCACGAGAGGCCCTCTCAGATTCTGAACTGTCCTCAGATTCCTGTGCATGGGGGTAATGCCTGGCAGAGTCCTACTGCAGGCTGGGGTGGAGGCCAATGACCATGCCTTAGAGAGAAATGGCCCATGAGTGCAGCACATAGAGTGGCACTGCTAAGCCAGCAAGCCTGGTCTGTTATGTCTGAAGTGAGGTATGGGATGTCGGGGGGCCACACTGGAGCCTCAGGGCCAAGGGTACTTGTCTCAGCTTAAGAGCAGCCTGGAGTTCAGGTTCCATGGAGGTAAGTTGTTTTCCTATCTGTCTCCTACACTAAGCTAGGAGCTCCTCCAAAGCAGTGATACAGCTCCAGCCTTCTGTGGCCCCGAGGCTATACTCTGTGATGGGCTCAGAGCAGGCCTCCCCCAATTCTTACTCTATAGTTGCTGAGGGGCACTCTAAGAAGCAGCTTGGGCCAGGCTGAGGCACCATGCATGTGTACTCCCAAAGGGCAGGACCATCATAGCTGAGTTTCCCAGGTGGCCAGCCTACAGTAGAATGGGAGGTATAGCACCCACGGGACCAAGACCGATGACCCCGTGCCAGGCATTCAAGCCAGATTCCAAGCCAGTCTGGCTCCTGACCTGTCCATTCATACATCATGTGTCCTACAGGAAAAAATCTGGCACTTTCAGTTAACAACATCCTTTTTCTGTCCCTCCAGAAGGTCACTGCTTCAAAGGGCAGGGCCTCTGTCATTTTCTACAAATGGCAGTTGTTGGAGGGTAGTGTAGTAGAGACCTGGAAGCTGACTCTGGGTTTGGCTGACCTGGGAAACAGACTTGATAGGCCCCTGACTACGGTCTGAGGGTGGAATTGCTGGTGGCTTGCTCCTGGACCCCTTTCTGAGATGCTCAGGATTTGTGAAATGGGCTGTGGTATGGCTCAATTCTTAGCCTGTGCAAGGCCCAGGGTTTCATCTCCAGCACTGCAAAAACAAAAACTGTAGGTGTCCAGAGGCAGGGAGGCTAGTGGCAGCAGCTGGGCAGAGAATAGGAGCTCTGAGCTCACCTGTCTCAGGAACTCCTGACTTGGGGTAAGGGGTGACACTATCAAGGCCAGAGAGACCCTGCTACAGGTTGTCTATGATGTTACACTAAAGGAGCAAAGCCACACACAAACTTGTACTCATAGCATGGTCTCAACTAGCTTTAAAATAAACATAGCAACAGTCTAGCAGATAATGCATCAAAACACAAACAGGCTTACTGTGGATGCTTAGGTTAAAGAAAATTATTTTCTTTTTCTTTCAATGGGCATGCATTCTATAATTGGCAACTTACAGTCAAGAAAAAATGTTATTAAGGAAAATAAAAAACAGAGAGTAGTACTCACCTCTTCCCTGGGAGTGAGTGAGGCTGAGGTGGGCCAATGTGGACTTAGTTCCTCTCAAACACCTTGCCACCAAACCATTAACCTCACAGTTGTGACCCCAGGTTAGGTCCTGTCATAGTGTGCAGCAGTGGCACTATCAGCACAGCCTAGTCCTGTGGTCAACCCAGCACTTCCATAAGCCAAGGTTCTCCTCACCTGCAGCAGCTCCAAATCAGATGAATCCTCCTGCCCAGGGACCATTTCTGTTAACATCTCAGACATGACTTTTGTGTTTCCTCGAACAACGTCCAGCTCACTCCGAAGTCTGGCAATCTATGAGGCCGAGGGGAGGAGGGCAGGAAGGAGAGGTCAGCCAGATGTACTTGGAAGATCAGAAGCAGCAGCCCAAAGGCTGGGATGGTTCAATCTACAGTGAGTCCTATGCCACCCTTCTGAATGTACCATAGGAGCAGCCTTCCTGTCTCCTGCCTGTGAGGACCAGCAGCCTAGCCTTTCCACCATGGGATCCTGATAACTTCTCAGGTTGTCTGTTCTACTCTCTGACTAAACAACTACGGGGGTAAAGATGCTCCAAGGTCCCTCCAGGGTTGAGACCCTATTCTATGATCCTTGTGGTCACAGATTCTGTCCCCAGAAGTGGTTGGCCAGTACTAACAGCACTCTTCTGGTGTGGGAAGAATGAGGGAAGGGAAACAAAACCACAGATGAAAGCACTTCTCCACACAGCTCTCTGACTGGTAATACAACCCTTAAAAAATACCCACCCTGCCTGTCCATCAGCAACCCCAAAACCTGGCCCTGAGCATGGCCTAAGCCTCCCTCTCCTGCAGCTGGGACACTGTAAGCTGTACTCCCTGGGTCTGCAGTTCTGAGCTTTGCATCAGTTCCTGTGCTCTCTAAACCTCTTTGAGACATCTGTGGAAGCCACAGGGACCTTCTTTGCCCATAGTGAGGCATTATAAAAGAATTGGAATAGAAATACCTATTGGTCCCACCACTCTCAATGGGAGACCAATGTATACTGGTCAAAGTTAGGAACTGCCCCAAGGCACTGAAGGAGCTCTAGGAGGAGCAATACTCAGAGGACAGGGTCTGAACTTGTCTCCTCACCTATGGAAAGGGTGATAACCCCACAACTCATAGGTTGCTGTGTGGTCTGCCCAGCACCTGACAGACATGTTCTTCTCCATTCCACGTGTGAACCCACTCCTGTACATGGCCTAGAGATGGATCAAGAGGAGATCCACTCCCTGCAGGGGACCCACTCCAGTGACACTTCTTCCCCTCAGCAAGGTCTTTCCACTTTCCCCTGCCCTGCCCCAGGTAGCAACTCCCAGCCCTCCCTCAGCCTCTCCTGTGCCAATCAGTCCCTTAATTCCTCAGATCAGGGATGCTGCAGGCTGAGTTCTATACCCTCAGCACTGGGACAGGCAGGAGACCTCAGTCATTGACCATCTGGGAGACAGTCTAGACCCTGAGAGACTCTTGCTGGCTTCTGGCTTGCTCCTGGGCCTCCTCAATGTCTTGGCCAAGAAGCCAGGGTAGCCCAGAAATGCTACCATGTGGGCTCTAAGGCAGGCCAGCCTGGGTACCAGCCTGCCTGCCTCGGCTTTCATTCTCCCCCAAGGGCAACAGGTCTCAGAGCTCCCACACTACTGTGCCCTCTCACCATTCCAGTCTCTCCTCTTTGATGTTGTAGCTGCTGGAGGGTCCTTCCCAAACACCTACCACACTGATGGCAAGGCAGCTGAAGGGCTCAGCAATGGCCCAGTTTCAAATAATTTCTGCCTTCCCTCTGAGCAAGCAGGACAGCTCTGCCCAAGCAAGTAGGACCTAAAGCCAAGACCTTCTGTGCTATGGCTCCACTTCAATGAATGCCCTGGCTGTCTAGATAATGAAGAAGGGCAGGGTTCAGTGACCCAGACCCACAGGTAGCACAAATCCTGCATTTCAGCTGTGGGATTGGACCTCCTCCCCTACAGCATGTAGGCGGCCACCCTGAGAACTTCTTCTATGTGTTACTTAGGCCCCTAGCTGTGTTGTGGGGTAGGAGAGGGGATTATCACCAGTTCTGATAACAGGAGACTGAGGTTAACTGTGAGCAGAGGGTGGGCCTCAACCCGGCTTATATGACTCCCAGCTCACCTCTTGCTTGAACTGTACTCCCTCCTCAGTGATGGCCACTAAGAGGGACACAGCCCTGGCACAACTGCTACCACCTACACATAATCACCTGATCCCTATTTCAGTATGGTTTCATAACAATGACATTGTCACAAGTAGGAAATAGGATTCTAGGAACTACAAACATTGGATAATTCTTTTCCAAGTCTGATCAATTCTGAAATTTTAACTAATAGAGATTCTATAGATTCATCTAAAAGACCAGTCTCCCCAGATCATCAAAAAATACCCAGTTTGGGGTAAAACTGCATTAGTTTATCAGGAAGTAATCCCAAAAAGAGGAGCAGTGCTTGGTTGAGGCAAGAATAGTGCTTCCAAAGGCCTCTCTGATTTTAGCCTCTGCTAGCTGACATTTCTTACGAGATCCATGTAAACCTCTCTGCATGGCAGACAAACCTGTTCGATTCAACCGCATTCCTCTGCTTTTTTGGCCTTGCTTTCTGCCACTATCCTCCCCTACCTGTTCACCTGCAAAGTGCAGGTGGGCCAGAGGAGACCTGCTTCTCTATACTGTGCACAATGTTGTCACTGCATGCGCAGGCCTCACCTGACAAAGCCTCAAAAGCTTGTTTCAGTGCTGTTAGTGCCTCAGCTCCCAGGCTGTCTTCCAGGCTGCCTCCCAGGCCTTGCTTAGCTCTGGCTCATGGAACACTTGGCTCTGCTCCCCATCATGGTGTGACCACACTCTATCACAACAGTCTTATATCTGTCTCCCCCAGGGACTGGGCCTTTCTTTGTGTCTCCCATGTCTAGAAGTGCCTGGTTCAGAGAGGCCTCTGTATGTGTATCCTGGAAAGGTGCAGAAGGGTGACCAGTTGGCTTGTCTGTGGCCCGGAAGCACACAAGTACCTGTTCTGAATTGGCCGTGATGGGACCAGTCACACTCAGAGCTGGGGCCTGTGGAGCGGCACAGGAAACAGGAGGTGGTGAGGAGTAGGAGCTGGCACTTGTCCTGGGCTGCGACTGGGACCTGGGCATGGTTGCGGCTGGATCCACTTCCGGGACACTCTGGCATAGCAACAACAAAGTCCTTGGATCACTTGGGCAGCATATGTGGCCTGTCCTGGCACTGCCCCAAGCCAGAGCAATGCTTTCTGTTAGAGTACAAGGACCCCCTCTGGGTCCAAGCCAGTTACTCCACCTGGGCAGCAGGGCCACCAGTGGATCCTCCCTCCCTCATCTCATGAGTATGCAGCAGACAACCAATGCAACTCAAAAAGACCTCACAGAGAACACTCTGTGAGCATTCTGGTCATGGTTCCATCAATAAAATTACCTCAGAATCAGAGTGGAAAGAGAGTTATTAAGTTTTGCTAATCATGAATCCTTATTTGGTACCATAAGACTATGTTTTGGCCTTTACAAGTAGACTAATATAAATAGCAATTACACAATTTACTGAATGTTCTTTATAATTATAGGAACAACAACTCTGTTCTCTCCATGTCATTATTAGAAGAATAAAGCAGGTTATATTTATACTGTAAAACATAGCAAATGACTTGGAGGGATCATAATGGGAATAATTCTTTGGAAAGTGAACATCTCAGATAACCTTGTCAACATTAGTGCTCATGTTCACAAGAGCTTGTGCATGGCATGCTGCCCTTCTCAAGGCCCACATGTTAGAGATAGGCAGATGGGGGCTGGCAAGACTAAGTGTACTGCGACGGGTACCTCTTCAGATCCTGGGCTTTTCTCGCTCTGTCTCTGGGCCAGGAACTTTTTCCTAGCCAGCATACGGACTAACTTCCCTTTGGAACCATGAATGGTACCACCTGTATTCGTTTAATTTTGAGGCACAGAGCCACACTCCAGCCACTGTTAGCTTTGTAAGGGCTTCTGTGGGATGCCCTCACACGGGTCTTTCCTGGGCTTTGAATTCTAAGGCTTACAGAATTCAAGGATGCTGAACACCCACAGCTCAAAATACGATTTAGATCCATTTGACTGAGCTCAGGTATAGCTCAGTGGTAGAGCATGTGCTTAGCATGCACAAGGCCCTGGGTTCTATTCCCAGCACATTAAAAAAAAAAAAAAAAAAAAAAAGACTGGGCACAGGTGTCTCATGCCTGTAATCCTAGCTACTCAGAAGGATTGTGGTTCAAAGCCAGCCCCAGGCAAATAGTTTGCAAATAGTTTTATAAGAGAGGTCTGCCATCTTATAAAAATACATCACAAAAAAAGGGCTGGCAGAGTAGCTCAAGTGGTAAAGCACCTGCCTGGCGAGTGTGAGGCTCTGAGTTCAATCCCATTACTGTCAAAAAAAAAAAAAAAGGTCCAGTTGATGCATACAGTTGAAAAGTTTGTAAGATGCTCTTTACCCCTGATGAGTTAATGTCACCCCTCTGCACTGGGTCCAGGTACTCTGGTGCTCCACAGGAATGAGGACAGATTGCAACCACATTCTAGAGGCCTCTGCAAAAGCAGGTGCTAATGACCCTTGCAGGATGGCTCCACCCAAGCAGCCATCTCCATGAAAACAGCTGAACTGATCCCTCTATTATATTCTTCCACAGTCAGTGTGAGACACTGCTGCCACTTAATCACCAGTCAACCAGCTGTCTCCCTCCTGCATTCCCCTTGTTATTAAAAAGAAATGCCCTGGAGCTTTAAGAAAGCATGATGACAAGCTGAATAATTCAAAGGCAGCAGCAGAAGGGTGGTGGCAGCGGCTTGGCTCGCCTGTTCTGTAGTCAGTCTTTCTAGAAAATGCCAGCTGGAAGCTTACCCGCTGGGGTGTGTGGATGGGGGATAGAGCGTCCAAGTCTGCCATGGGAAATTCAACCCCCTTTCTCTTCAGCTCCTCATATATGTGCACAACACCGGTGAGGTCTGGACTGCTCCGAAAGGCATCAGCCCATGCCTGGGAGAAGAGAGGAAGGCCTTTTAAGAAGTGGTTCTTACTCAGAGTCTCAAGATGCTTGTAAGTTAGCCCAAGCCTGAGGCCAGTGCTCTGCACTCCCCTACAACGTGTATTAGCAAAATCTATTCTGTTCCTTTCCTGCCTCAACATGGCTGGCGAAACCCAGGCTTTCAATGGTGCTGCTGAGCATGAAGAAAAACACAAAACTTAATTCAGCATGTAGTTCCTTAAAGAAGAGGCAGAGAAATAACACCTAAGCGCTGTGGTGCATCCTAAGATACATGCATTTGCCTAATCGCTAGGAAATCAATTGCTGGGGCTGTTTAGCTGAAGGGAGTGGAAGGCTTGTCTTGATGCCTCCCAGTAGGATGCTAGCTTCTCCTCTGTGGAGGCAGGAACCACAGGCAAATTGAGCAGAAAAGAAAGGAGAAATTGACTTATGATGGGAAATAAAGGCTAACTCCAGGTTTCTTCAGTGAATCAGAGACTGCTAAAGCTAAGCTTGCCTAACCCAGCCCCATCACTGACAGGTGAGATGATTTCAGCTGAGGGGCACAAAAAACCCATTGGGAACCAGTCTGTGGCCAGTGGCTGGGACTCCAACTCCAGCCCCATGTTTCTTCCATTACCTTGTACTGCTGTCAGTGTCAATATACCTGCCCAAATAGAAAAATCTAATGGAAAGCACTCAACTGCCTTAAATGAAAGCACAACACAAAGAGAAAAGAGAAGAAATTGCAAATAGATTGTCATTTCCACTGACTTATAAAACATGTAATAATAATTTAAAAATTCTGGGTTTTTTTTGGAAGCTTCAGAACGTATAAAAAGCAGAAGTATATCCAAAGGGCTCCTCAGAAACAGGGTCTCCTTCATCGCTGTCCCCTTCACCAGATATACACAACCAGAGGAGAAGGCAGCTCCTCTTGCACCATGGCACCATTGCCAAGCATTACATTGTCACAGCATTTAATGGCCTCCTGCCTCCACCAATATGTACAGCCAACCCTGAGGCAGCCACAGAAACTCTATCTCTAACCAAAAAACCCACTGGAAGTTAAAAGGTCAATTTCCAAAAAGCTTCCTTAATTATGCCTGATATATTTCACTACAAACAGCAATGTCAGCCTGTCTTTGTTTTCTTGATGCAGTTATTTAATTTGTGTACTCAGGGATTTAATGCCATCATGGCATCAGAACAGCCTGTCTCTGCCAACACTTCCTTCTGTATTGTGAGGAGGGTGCCTAAGAGGTTGTCAGGAAGGCCCAGCTAAAGAGCCAAACTGCCTCTGCCTCTCCTACCCCCTCTAGTGTCCCATAACCTGCCCCCACTAGCTGCTCCACTACCTCTACCCCATTCAAAATCCAGCTGAGTCCTGTGACTTAGCTACCAAATGCTCTAGCATTTTAGTTTAGGGTCCAAACTTGAGAGTCTGGGGGTTGGGAGTGTCACTCATTGGTGGAGCACTTGCCTAATATGCATGGGCCCTGAGCTGCATCCCCTGCACTTAAATAAATAAATAAATAAACAAATACATAAATAAATAAAACCATGAGAGTCTAAAGATCACACAGCTCACTTCAGGGAAGATGGAGAAAAAAGCATGGCATTTCCTCCTGGTGCCACTTCCCGCTTCTGTTTCCATAAGAGAAGAAACAGCTTCAGGACCCCTTTCCACTGCCCTTGTTCCCTACTCATGCCAAATTTGAGACATTAAGAAGAAAGATTAAAGAATTATGCTGTTCTCTCTAATCAGTGGACATTTCTCAGGGCTTCTTTTCCCTTCCCTGCATTCAGAGGTTCACAGGAGCTGGATTTGCATCAGGGAACTAAAGGGAGAACTGTGTATCCTAGGTTGGGTCAATCAGATTCTCCTCCTGCCAGAAGCTCAACCCCCCACCTCAAAGAGAGCTGGTCCTTCTCTTTGAGTAAAGAAACTGCCTTCTATAAATGTGGGCCATGGGAGGCAGCCATGGACCAGGGGACAGAGACAGAAAAGGAACAGCTGGTGTGTTGAGAGATACAGACCTGCAAAGAGATTTGGAGGGCTTCCCTAATCCCTTTCATCCCTTCCCCAGGTCCAGACATACCAGTGGCCTGAGTGACCCAGGCTTCTAGGAGGCCCTGCCTTGTCAGGACAAACTTTCCTCTTAGCCTAGGCAAGCAGAGTTGCATCTGTTATTTGCAGCCAAGCAGTCTTGACTAATCTACCCCATCACCACCTACCACAATTCCAGCCTGGGTCCAGGACCCCTAGACAGCTGGGGTGAGGTGTCTGCTAACAGAGCATATGTTCATGATAGCAATCTTCACTAAGCATGACTCTGATAACAAGAGGAACAAAAGGGGGGAGGGGTTTTAAAGAAACAGTTCTATGTGAAAATCCAGAGATGGGAGAAATCTAGAGATTTGGTGTGTCCCCAGCGTCTTCTTGGGACATACTTAAATAAAAGTGCTCTTGTCTCCTCCTTTCACCTTTTGAAGACACACACACAGGTCTCTTGCCCTTGCACAAGGAAGGCAGTCAAAGTCAGTCACCATGTGTTAGGTTAAATTGAAGTCAGTTCTCGTGATTACTAACCAGACTTAGTTTTCTACTTTAGAGAATAGAGAAAAGATGGCCACTTATGCTGTCAACAGAATGATGTGACAGTGATAAAGCAGGAGCCCCTCTGGAAGGTTGAAGCAGTGGAGAATCCTCCCTAGAGGAGCTGTGGCAGCCTCCATCCTTTGCCACCCTGAGTCCCTGACCTGAAGTCCTGGAGTGGCAGGGAGGGTGGGGGTAGCCTGCATGCCCAGTAGCTGTCTTACCAGAAGCCACAGCAGCAGCAGTGCTGGCATTCTCTTAGGGTCCCCTGTGACAGGCACTAGCCAGATCACAACAGAGTGGACACCTCACTGGAAGCCATGCTCTTTACATAATCTTTTCCTGTTGGTGGCTACAATATTGGGAGGCTGGAAACCCAGAGCCAGGTCTAATGAGGGGAACAAAAGAAAGAGATCAGCTCCTGCTTTTTTTCCCCCTTCATTGCTTTGGATTGCACACCAAACTGTACATGCAAATGAGTAGCACACCATATTCTATTTACTTCTGTATCTCTCAACCTTGACAAAGTTTTGAGTTATTGACTTTCAGACCAACAGACAAGTGCTCTGTCGTTTCCTGCTTATGTTCCCAGCCCAGGCATACTGTTCCCAGTGACAGGGTCCCTGGCCAAAAGTCTTTACTTGTGGGAATCCAATGTTTTCAATTGGATTTTTCAAGGCAGCCACTACGCCTCTGACACCTTCAAAGAATATGATCCCATCAGCCCCTATTGCCCCCACTCCTATTCCCACCCTAATCAGTTTACTTTCTGCAGCAGAAAGAAGAACCTGCAGTAAAGAGTATTTTTAGACCCTTGGTAGAATGGAGAGGTGGGTGAGAGGCATGACCAACCTGAGGTTGCTCTATCAGGATGACCCCATTTCTGGTCCTCAAAACAATTTTAAGGATAACATAGAGTGGCAGCAGCCTTCTTGTCTTTTCAACAAACAGGACTTAATGTGAGGAAACAAAAAAGAGCATGAGACCAGCCAAGGAAAAACTTGGGAGTGAAAGAGAAAGGTGGTAGGGAGCAAAGCTAGGGCTGAGTACTGGCAAGCAGCTAACCAGGCTTTTCTGCTCTCATCGTACCTTTTCACCCCTCCTGCCAGGGAAAGCAGCCCCATATAGAAGGGCAGATGCCATGGTGGGGTGAACCCACAAAGCCTTCACACTGGAGCCCTAGAACCAGGAGGTGAATGCACAGCTCACATGCTGGGCTTGCAGAAGTGGAGGACAGTTTTCTTCTTTCAGCATTCTAAGGGAAAGGCCTTCTGGAGAAGATATGTCTGAGGAGTTGTTTTTATGGGAGTGTATGAGGGAGACAGGGTAGCTAGGGATGGCTAGATGGCAGACAGAAGACATTGGAAGCCTTCATAAGGGGCAGCTGGAGTCTCTTTTTTTACAGTGCTGGGGATGGATCCTAGGGCCTCCCTCATGTTTGGCAAGCAATCTACCACTAAGCCACACCCCCAGCCCTTGAATTCTCTTTATAGTCAGGCCAGAAGGTTGCTGATGGTAAACAGGTGTCATTGGAAATTCCACTTCTATGGCCAATCCTAGGCCAAGCATCCCGAGATGAGCACTGAAGAAAGGGACCCAGGACTGGTAGGCTGGGGGCAGACAGATATAAGATGACAAACTCTATTGCCACTTCCCAATAAGCACAGAAGACTTTAGATAAGCTGCTCTGGAGCCTGGCCTGCTCCTTGCTCCTACATAGGGCAGCATGATGGCAGTCCTTTCATCTCAAAGTAACCTCAGGAGCAGTGGGCTCCAGCCAGTAGATGGGAATCACAGCAACAAGTTCCCCTCCTGAGAAGAGCCCTGTGAATGGATGGGGATTCATGGGGCTTGACTAACTCACGGGGCTTAGGAGCTTTTCAAGTGCCTATGCATTCAATTTACATTTCCAGAATAGAAAGTTTAGGAATTCACTCACCCTTGCCTGCCCACCCTCCCAAACATTCAAGAGCCTGCCTACTCAAGTCCTTCCTGGCTAGGCCCTGACCCCAATCATCTGTAAACATTAGTCCCTCCTATTAACCTGCTAACTGCCTGACCTAGCCTCACTTCCTGGGCAGCTGGGCACCAGAGAGCACCAAGAAGCATCCTAAAAACAAGATAGTGAGGAAGAACAGTATTGTGCTGGCATCCACATGGTCAGTGGAGCCTCTTTTCAGTCTAGCAGGATTTACATTACATCCTGCTACCTACTCATAGGCTGACAAGAGATCCAGTGATATGTCACCTTCTTTCCTTCCCTTTCTTTTTTTGGTGCTGGGATGGAACCCAGGGTCTTGTGCAGGCCAGGCAAGTGCTCTACCACTGAGTTATACCTCCAGCCACACTATCCCCCACTCTTATCTCAGGGTAGAAGCAATACTTTCTTTCCCAAGGGGAATTATTAAACACTCTATGGAGCTAGTTCAGTTTTTAAAAGGACAGTTAGCCCTCAGTATTTGGAGGGGATCAGTTCCAGGACCTCCTTGGATATCAAAATCTTTGGATGGTATAGTCCCTTATATAACTTGCCCCCCTATCTGCATATAACCTACACATATCCTCCTATATATTTTAAATCATCTCTAAACTTATATTGTCTTTACTTATACTGCCTAATACAATGTAAATTGTTATGCTGTATTGTTTAGGGAATAGTAACAAGGAAAAAAGTCTGTAGAAGTTCAGTACAGGTGTACTTTTCTTCCAAATATTTTTTATCTTAAGTTAGTTAAGTCTACCATTGCAGAACCCATAAAAACAGAGGGCCATCTTTATATTTGACATGCAAATAAAATTATTTCCCAAAGTGGTTAGAAACAGTGACAATGCAGTATCTCTCCTTATTCACCAGATAGGCTATAATGAAGAAGACAGAAGCCAGGGCATGTTGACAAAGTTGTGAAATAACTAGAACTCCCAGCATTCCCTATGACCCAGCACCTTCACTCCTGGCATGTGGGTGAAACACATGAAACTGCTAATGCCCACTTCTGACCAATAAAGATGCCAGTTTCACACATTCAACTTAATATACACCCAATAAAAATGAACACATATACTTCCCAAAAGACACAGACAAGAGGCTATAGCAGCATTTTTCACTGGAGTTTGGAGTAAAGTCCAAACACAAAGAGTGCCCATCCTCAGTAGGAGGGATAAACAAACCACAGGGCACTTACATCATGGGACCTGGTGCAGCAGTGGGGAGGAGGAAAGGAAGACCTGCAGTCACAGACAACACTGTGTGATGCCTATACCCACAATTCAGCCAGCTACAATGGTGGTCACAAAGCATTACTGTAGGAGCCCATGGGGCACAGCTCAGGCACAGGAAACTAATCTGTGGTGTGAGATATCAGGCAAGTGGCCATCTGGGGATGGGTGCTTCTACTCTGGGCAGATTTTGTTTTGTGACATAGGGGCTGGTGGCAAGGATATATTCAGTTTGCAAACATTTATCAGGTTCAGGGATGGTGGTGTGGCTCAAGTGGTAAAGTACCTGCTTAGCAAGCTCAAGACCCTGAGTTCAAACCCCATTGCTGCCAAATATATAACTCAAGTTGTGTATACTTTCATATGTGATTTCCTATACATATATTATATTATTCAATGGGAATAAAAGGGCTGCGGATCCTGCTAGTTCTTTAGATTGCCTATTACAGAAGCCATCCAGCAGTTCTGAATGCTGCTTGCTCTTCTCTGTGCTGAGTGGCCATGACACAGGTGAAAGCTCAGCAGGACACTGCAAAGTCTGGGAAGAAAGACTGCTCCTTAGTTAGGTGATCAGCATCATCCAGGAGGAGTCCTAGCTCAAGCTTCTTGCCTTTCACAGTTGGACCCAGGAACTCTGTCCAATGTGTCTAGGCTGGATAGGCACCTGTCTGCTCAGGTGCCTGTGGGCCAGTGCACACTGCTACTGCCGAGCCAGCAGGGGAAGGCATGGAGACACGGGTGTGGGCTACTGTACTGTATAGGCTGACCTCACAGGTTAGGACAAGAGAGCAAGAAGGCAGAAACCCAGTCCCCACTTTACAGATAGAGAGGTCAATGCCCAGAGAAGTTACCACACCTGCCAGAGGTTAGAAGTGTGCTGGGGACAACCTGCAAGGAACTACAATGAAGAGAAGTAGTGATCCTGCAAGAAAGCTTCAAGGTTAGTCAGGGTGGGGTATGCAGGGACAGGCATCTTCTGGGGCAGAACTGTGGACTCCAGCGAGTGCAGAAGGCTCTTTGTCTACCTTCACCAGATGGTGTCCTTAGTTTGCTGTGCTTGCCAAGGCATGGGCTCCACCCCAGGGGCCCAGCCAGGCCTCAGGGTGAGCAAGCTCTCACCCTGGATGCTTCCCTCCAAGTCTTTAGCTACTGAAGGTACTGCATAGGCTATCTCTGCTTAAGGGTTTCAGGCTGGGGTACCCCATTTTTTTGTCAGAAAAAAGCCACCATTTGTTTCCCTGGCAGCAATTCCTGGGGGTAAGGCAGAAATAGTTGCAGAATGAGGAGCTATGGGGGAGGAGGTGGGGATGAGGAAGGAAGGAGAAGGAATAGTGTACCCACAGATGGGGGGAGGAGTGGGCAGAATGACAGTCAGGGACCATGCTTGGGGAAGCATTGGAGGAGACTCTGCTGTCACCCAGACTCCTCCCTCCTTCTCTGAGCTTCAGCGAGATACATTTATGTACTCAATTTAAAAAATGCTTATTGAACACCTACTCTCCACATTCAACTGCTCTAGACCTTGAGGACACCGTGTCCCTGGGCTCCAGGAATCTACAGTGAGACAATAGAAAAGTTAGCAAAGCCACACTTGAAGATAAGAGGGTAACTGAGAGAGGAAGAGAGGAAACATACTCTGAAGCACGTCTGTATAATGAGGAGGAGCCAAGTGCTCCAAGATCTGGGGAGCACATTCCAGACACAGCTACAGGCTCCGAGGCTGGTGTCTCTAATCCCACTCCAGCTCAATCCCAGCCCACCCTTGAGAGCCTCTGTGCCCACTCCCTGGCTACTCTGCTTCTGTCCACTCAGTCTCCTCGGCTTGCTGCGTCTCATCTGTACTGAAGCCCAACTCCCACTCCCAGGCTTGGTTTTCCCTTTCCTCTTGGCTCCAGAAGGCCTTGTCTCACCTCTGCCAACCAGGCTGGATGTCCTTATGGATCTATGTGTCCTGCCATCACAGTGCTGTCTAAAATCCAGATCTGTGTACAAGCTGGCTCAGAAACCTCCCATGACTCCCCAGAACCTACAGGACCAAGCCCAAGCCCTTCAGCACACACAACCACAAGCCTTGCCCATCGTCTGGCCTCACCTCCTGCCTGCTCTGTCCCCATGCCCTTAGCCAAACATTATTCGTTATATCCTGCTCTTCATGAGACAGTTTTTAAAACATGTCCACAAATTCTTTGACCCTAATCACTTTAAGAGGTGGAGTTAAATCCCCTTCTCTTGAGGCTGGACCTGGTGACTACTTTCTAACAAACAGAGTATGATAGAAAATATGATGTGTGACTTCCTTGATATCCACATGGCAGGAAACTCTGGTCTCATGTCAATACTAAGAGAGGAATGGATGCTTCCTGCCAACAGTCATGTGAGGTGACATCTTGGAAGTGGAGCCTCCAGACACAGTGGAGCCTCGAGATGATGCAGCCTCAAGAGATCCCAAGTCAGAATCTCCCAGCTAAGCTACTCCTAAGTGCCTGGCACACAGAAACCAGAAAATAATAAACATCTGTTGTTTTAAGCTGCTAGACTTTGGGGTGATTTGTTATAGTGCTATTAATAATGAAGAACTCTCAAATGTGTCAACTGTTTATGCTGCTTCTGGCCTTTGTACATGCTATTCTCTCTGCCTGAAATGCCTCTCACACTTTGGCCTTTACACCAACCTCCTCTTCATTCTTCCAACTCTGACAGATATGTCACTGCCTCATTGAAACATCCATTGCCCTGCGACCTCACAAACCCTGCACACAACTCTAACATGGCCCTTCCTACTCTACGTGGTCTCAGAGGCCTGTTGAGGCCCCCTACCACCTGCCTGCTTTTGTGGGCAGCAGAGGGTCTGAAAATTCTGTCAACTAGCTAGCAAGCCACCACTTAGGGTTTCATTCCAGTGGGATTAGTATAAAGAAAATAAGTATTTTACAATAAATATTTAAACCCAGAAGCCTCCATTTTTTCCCTCCAAGTAGTCAGAGTGTAAGGATGCATAAAATGCCCCATCTTACTCTGTGCCAGCAAATTGGGCAAGAAAGGTAGGCCTACCTGGATCAGAGCAAGCACTTTGTCCTGTACAATGGTGGGAGGGTTGTTCTTAGAAGAGATGATTTTGACCAGAACACTGTCAATGAAGTCTCGGTTGGCCACGAGGATGTGGAAGCGGTGACCACAGTTCTTTACACATGTCTCCAGCACCTGATGTGGGAAGGAAGGAGAGAAGTCAGCACTGTGGCAGCTGGAGGAGATACTAGGAACTGATCAGGGCAGCTGAGTTCTCACCCCCACCTCACTCCTAGATCATCTTCCTGACATGTCTTCTCCAGAGCCACACCTCTGCAAACATGCATTCCCACACTCTAATGCAGCCGTTCCTGGGGGATGACAGCAGCCCAGTGCTGACTGAAGGCTCCTGTCCCTGCACAATAATCAGGCAATTAGTAGGTAATTGAGGCACCAGTTCTGCAAGAAAAGGATGCTGGTGTTTTAATGGGATCAAAATGACTGAGGGACCCTGAAAATTAGCATTTTAACTCCTCTCTCTGGGCCTCTGAGTGTGAGGCATCAGCCAATGGGACACAAGCTTTGTCACAAAAGGAGGCTGCTGCAACAGCTTGAATTGCCTGGTGAGTTACTAGTCCTTGTGTGTGAAGAAGCAAACACACACATACTCCTGCTTCTGCAAATAAAATTAGTAATGACAATGAATCTTCCACCCTTGACAAATGGTTTGTGGACCTCAGCTACCAATTGGCCTTAAGATCCATCTTCAAATAAGACTCTTCCTGTTCTTCCCTAATCTGGGGAAGTCCACTGGTATCATCTATTCAGAAAGGCATGCTGATAGGTTCTAAGTGGCCAGTGTGGGTTTGACTCTCAGCTATGCTACTTCTCTAAGTGGCCCAGGACAAGTCTCTCCAGGTCTTGGCATCCTCATCTGTAAAGGTGGGACAATGAGCTCTCCCTTACAGGATTGTTGGGAAGACTGGAGATGATATGTGTAAAGCACCTAGCACTGTCCTGCACAAGACAGGAGACCAAAAGATGATGACTGTGATTGTATGATGCCAATTCAGAAGGCATCCTGGATAAAGGGACAGGTTCTTATCTCCCCCAGGAGAGGTGAGATGAGAGGCCCCTTGGAGTTTAGAGGTTCAATTGGAAGCACCTCTCCAACCTTTCTCTTTTGGTGATACTGAGGTTTGAACTCAGGGTTTCATGCTTAAAAGACAGGTGCTCTACCACTTGAGACATACCTCCAGTGTGGCTGGAGATAGGGTCTGTAGCTGAGATGACAGATGTGTGCCTACCATGCCTAGCTTCTTTCTGTTGAGATTCTGTTGAGATGAGGTCTCATGAACAAATACCCCCACCTCCTGTTGGTGTTGAACCATGATCCTCTCAATCTCAGTTTCCTGCATAGCTTGGGATAATGGGCATGTACCACAGCACCTAGTTACTGGTTGGGATGAGGTCTCATAAACTTTTCGCCAGGGGCTTTGAACTGTAATCCTCCTGACCTTAGCTTCCCAAGTAACTAGAATTACAGGAGTGAGCCACCACCAGTACTGGGTTTTGAACTCAGGGCCTCCTACTTGCTAGGCAGGCAGTCTACCATTTGAGCTATGTGTCTAGCTCCCTTTTTTTCAGTACTGGGGTTTGAACTCAAGGCTTCACATCTGCTAGGCAGGCACTCTTGCTGCTTGAGCTACTCCGCCAGCCCGAGCCTTTTTTGCTTTAGTTATTTTTTAGGTAGGATCTCAAGTTTTTGCTTGAGAGGCCTTAAACTGAGAACCTCCTATCTATGGCCTTCCACGTAGCTGGAATTATAGGATTATAGATTATATGGCCCTCACACCCTAGCTTGTTTATGAGATGGGCGTCTTGCTAAATTTTTGCTGGGGCTGGCTTCAAACTGTGATCCTCCCAATCTTTGTCTCTTGAGTAGCTGGGATTACAGATGTGAACTACCAAACCTGGCCTCTCCAGTCTTAAACACAGTTCTCTGACCTTCTCAGCTCTTTGGAAAACAGCCCTTAGGATCACCTGCCCCTTCCATGCTATCCCCCTCCAGCCACAGTTGATTGGCTGAAAAATGCCTCTTTGGGAGGATGTCACCAGCAGCAGGTGACATTTCTTTTTTTATTTTTTATTTTTTTATTTTTATTTTATTCATATGTGCATACAATGTTTGGGTCATTTCTCCCCTCTTCCCCCATTCTTCCCTTACCACCCCCTTCCCCGGCTACCCAGCAGAAACTATTCTGCCCTTATCTCTAATTTTGTTGTAGAGAGAGTATAAGCAATAATAGGAAGGACCAAGGGTTTTTGCTAGTTGAGATAAGGATAGCTATACAGGGAGTTGACTCGCATTCATTTCCTGTGCATGTGTGTTACCTTCTAAGTTAATTCTTCTCGAACTAACCTTTTCTCTAGTTCCTGGTCCCCTTCTCCTATTGGCCTCAGTTGCTTTAAAGTATCTGCTTTAGTTTCTCTGCGTTGAGGGCAACAAATGCTATCTAGTTTTTTGTGTGTCTTACCTATTCTCATACCTTCCTTGTGTGCTTTCGCTTTATCATGTGATCAAAGTCTACAATCAGCAGGGGACATTTCTGACTGCCTCAGTTATCCTCATTTCCCCAAATTCATCTGACTGTGAGTTAACTTATGTAGTCACTCCATAGGGCTGGTTCATACCAATGGGTTTTACCTTGACCAAGCATGGCCATAAAGAAAGATCCATACTTTGAATTGACTGAATACCAGCTACATGCTAGGAAACATGAGACTCCTCCATATCACGTGCAATTTCAATCCATTCCCACAATTTATTAATTCTATTAAGTGAACTTTATTACCCCCTTTTTTAAAGTTAGGAGACCTAGAAGGTGAAGAGACTGGTCTAGGTACAAATTGTTGGTAAATGCCAGAGGCAGTACAGGAACTCTACTTGCCTTCTCAGGAGCCCTGGCCTCCTTACCTACCTGACTATCCCTCCCTCATACCTCTCCTCCAAGCAGCCATGTTGCTGAGAGACAATAAGTACTGTGTGCTGGATTTCTTTTTCCCTCATTTGTTCCTTGAAATAATTTTGTAAGGTGGGCATTATCTCATTTTAAAAGGAGGAAACTAAGGCTCAGAGAACCCTAGGGGTAGAATTAGGATTCCTGATGTCCAGCAGCTCTGCGGCCAGCCAGAACCATTCCTTTCCCCACTGTTTCTCCTGCACTGCCAGAGGCTTCACCCTCTGCTCTGCATGGCCAGGGAGATTATGAAGCACAGGATCTTCAGAGCCTCTGTGCAACCACAGGTTTTACTCAGCCAAAGGAGATATTTCCCTTTCTAGCCTCTGCTTGTGCCTGATTCTGGGTGACCATAAGGTGACCAGCATTCATTGTCAGTGGCCCAGAGGGGCTACCAAGAGGAGCCAGAGGGATTCTTTCTGCCTCCAAGCAGCTTGCATGAGCCCTTTTCTCTAGGATTCTCTACACTCTCCTCCTGAGTTAGCAGCAGCTGAGCCAGGCCAGTGACTGGAAGGACACTTATTTCATGTGGGGCCTGGCAGGGAGGGTAGGGCAGGAGGCTAGGGGAGCAGGCATGAATGGGAAGAACTGGAAACAGAGGGCCAGGCTGTAGTCAGGTAGTGGCAGGGCAGCCTGGGGCTCTACCTCCATTCCCAAGGAGGCTATGGGCAGGACATTCTTACCTCCATTTCTCCTAGACAACAGACCTCAAGGTCAATGGGTCCTAGCCTACCCTTGGAAATACTCTGGGCAGCAGTACATCTGCTACAAAGCAACCCAAAGCTTATCTAGACAGGAGATACAGGAAGTCCTCCCTAGGCTGGCAAGAGCCATTTCAGGCCACCCTGCCAAAAAGGCCCCCAGCAGATCTGTTCCTATGAGTTCTCGGGCATGAAAAGCAGTAGCAATTCTGGAAGCAGTCAAAACCCATAGAGTAAGCAAAAGGGTCCTCTAAACAATCAGAAGTAGATGTTTTGGGCACATACACGAAGGCTCAAGCAGAAAGCCCCTCAGGATCTCTAACTCCTTTTTTTTTGGGTAAATATTAGCAAAATTAGATATGAAGCTAGGAAAGAACCATAGGAACTAACAGGGCAAATGAAGCCATGAAGGCAGATATAATACCATTAGAAGTATCCCAGGCAGGGCCCTGGATGCAGGGACATGGCTCTTCCAAAAGTATCACTGGGTTTGAAGCAAAGACCTGACCATCAGGAAGGCCAGATTATGTCCTCCAGCCCATGCTGAAGGAAGGCAAGAAGCCACAGTGTCACTTTAGAAAGAGTTCCACCCAGCGTGGTTACCACCAAGCTGGTATGTAAAGGAAGAAGTGTTAGACACCAGGAAAATGCCTTGACACGTTAGAGCTTATCCCCTATGATGTAAGTTAGTGAGAATAACTCATTTTGGTTATCACTCTGGGTTCAGTGAACACCATGGTTCAAATTCTGAGGAAAAAAAAAATAAAATAAAAGCTTTCAACTATTTATCAACTGGCCTTTTCTCCTTTATTATTCAAATCCAATACTCTGGCAGAGAACACTCTCCTAACAGGTTTTGGGTTTTTACTTGGGAAAAAAAAAAATTCCAAGCAATTTCTCTACTTTAAAAGGAAACATGCTATGGCTGTTTTGGATAAATAACCCACTATTTCAAACCTATAGAAGTCAATGGGTTAGCCTGTTACAATTTCTCATATAAAAACTCACTGTGGCCCAGATTTTGCCACATCTGAAAAATCTGTTAGCTTTCAAGACAGAAATAGCACCTGGTCTCTCTTTTAATTCTCTGACTTTTTAAGGAAGGGCAAAAACCTGCTCTGTTCTACCTGAAAGGAATCACTTGGCTGACTTTCAAGAAGACCTTTGCACTATTTTCAGTTTTTCCCCAAACAAAAGACTATTTTATGATGGCAACCCACAGTTCGGTACCTCACTAGCTGTGAAGGTTGGACAAAACCTCTAGACTTCTCTAAGCCAGTCCTATCTGTATAAGAAGGTAATGACACCCACTTTGGAAAGAGGTTGTAAACATCTCCATCAACATCTAAAAAGCTTGGCACAGTTCAGGACAGGTACATCCAGTACCAGTACCAGTGAACATTTTTATAAAGAGGAAATTGACACCTAGTGTCTCAGAACAGGCTGGTGGCAGAAAAGGGACCTGCTCCTTGCCTCTGGCTCCTCTGCTCTGGACTTTTGTACCCAACAATGCTACGTACACTTTATCTTCTGCTGATAGATATTTACTGCATTGAACTTTACCCCCTGCATCAGAGGAGGGTAGAGGACCCCAAGGGCACAACCAAAAGGCTCTGCTGAACCTAGCAGTACAGGCTGAGCACTGAGAGGCTATGTGAGAGGACAGAGAGAAGGCCCTGAGAGAGGTGAGGCCAGGGGGATGTCCTGATGTTCTCCACTAAGAAGAGAGTACTTACCGTCAGAGCCAGCATCACTTCTCTATAGTTCCGGTTCCCACTAAGTCGCTTCTTCAGGGCTCGAATGGCATCCTTTGGCCTGGAGCAAAAGATAGACATGTTAAGATTCTCTCAAGTCTCATGTTGAAGCCCTAGATGACAGATTTACTCTCACTGTCAACCAGCAAGGTGATAAGGTTATTCACTACAGCATATTTATAAAAGAAAAAGACTGGAAAAACAAACTAACTAAATATCCACCAGCACGTAACAGGTTCAATTATCATGGCTCACAATGAAATACTATGCAGTGGCAAAAAAGAATTAAGTCTTTATACATCATTATGGACCAAACTCAAAGACATGTGCATAGCCACCACCAACAAGTGTTGGTGAGGATGCAGGGAAAAAGGAACCCTCTTACACTGTTAGTGGGAATGTAAACTAATACAACCACTCTGGAAAAAAATTTGGAGGCTACTTAAAAAGCTAGACATTGATCTACCATTTGATCCAGCAATACCACTCTTGGGGATATACCCAAAAGACTGTGACACAGGTTACTCCAGAGGCACCTGCACACCCATGTTTATTGCGGCACTATTCACAATAGCCAAGTTATGGAAACAGCCAAGATGCCCCACCACTGACGAATGGATTAAGAAAATGTGGTATCTATACACAATGGAATTTTATGCAGCCATGAAGAATAACGAAATGTTATCATTCGCTGGTAAATGGATGGAATTGGAGAACATCATTCTGAGTGAGGTTAGCCTGGCCCAAAAGACCAAAAATCGTATGTTCTCCCTCATATGTGGACATTAGATCAAGGGCAAAACAACAAGGGGATTGGACTTTGAGCACATGATAAAAGCGAGAGCACACAAGGGAGGGGTGAGGATGGTAAGACACCTAAAAAATTAGCTAGCATTTGTTGCCCTTAACGCAGAGAAACTAAAGCAGATACCTTAAAAGCAACTGAGGCCAACAGGAAAAGGGGACCAGGAACTAGAGAAAAGGTTAGATCAAAAAGAATTAACCTAGAAGGTAACACACACGCACAGGAAATTAATGTGAGTCAACTCCCTGTATAGCTATCCTTATCTCAACCAGCAAAAACCCTTGTTCCTTCCTATTATTGCTTATACTCTCTCTACAACAAAATTAGAAATAAGGGCAAAATAGTTTCTGCTGGGTATTGAGGGGGTGGGGGGAGAGGGAGGGGGCAGAGTGGGTGGTAAGGGGGTCGGGGCAGGGGGGAGAAATGACCCAAGCCTTGTATGCACACATGAACAAAAAAAAAAAAAAGACATGTGCATAGGGGCTGGGAAGGTAGTTCAGTGTAAAGTGCTTGCCTAATATGCACAGGTTCTGAGTTCCACTGTGAAAAAAAAAAAAACGAAATGTGATCAGGCTTGCTACTATTTACATTATAAAAGGATAGCAACAGCAAATTTGAAGGCAGTACATGCCAGTATTGGGAAGAGACTGGAGGGAGCCAGCCCTGGTGATGGCAGCTGACCTCAAGGAGAGGAACAGGGGGCAGAGGGGGAGGGAGGTTTTGTAGTGGATTGCCACTTGGCAGACTTTTAAAATTATGTATCACATGCCAGTGTTATTGACTCAAAACCAGTAACTAACTTAATGGGGTATGGGTGCATTGAAGAGTCTTTCCAGAGAAATCAAACAGACATGGAAAAAAGAACGCTCAGGTCCTTGCTGAGGCCTGGGTGTTCAGCTCCTACTAGATTCCAGGGAACATCTTTTCTAAGAAAAAACTTAAGTGAGTCTCCTCAAAACCCAAGGAATTGTGTGGTTTTAGATAATAGATCAGTTGTGCATTCCCAGAAGGAATCTTTCATTATTATAGGCAGTCTCCAGTTTACAAATGAGTCCTGTTCAAAACTTGTTCATAAATTGATGGTTTAGGAACTTGGAATGAGTTCTTTCTTAAATCACCATTATACTTAAGCATTGGGATCCCAAGCACACCTATTACATGGAGGCTTTGTGTCTAACATGTAATTTAATTTATTCTAATCTAGTATTCAACAAAGTTGTGAGACTAAGAGTTTCCCCTGCCATGGAGGCCTGACCCATGCCCCATACCCTGTAGTCTGGAGAGTCCTAATCTGCTGCAGACCAGCCCTTTTGCACAAGTAGGCTCCAACCTGCCACTAAAGGGAATGTCATGTTATCTCAGTCTTTCCTTGGTCCAGTGTTTGGAGTCTGGGACCTCCTAGCCCTATAATTCTATCATAAAGGTACTCTACCAAACAAAAACATCCTGTAAAATGTAGAAGGAACTCAGGGAGGTGAGGCGGAAGCTCTGCTAGCCAGCCTTATGTGTAAGGAAAGAGCTGAAGTGGCAAGGGAAGCAAGGAAGAAATTTTAAAAAACACCCTGAGCCCCCAATTTCCCATTCCCAACTTGAAAAATAGCCACCCTACAAGAATTCTTGGCTTCTGTAGGGCCCATGGGTCAGGAATGGCCCAGGCTAGTGTGTTTGCAGTTTCCAAATGGAGATGTGGATTTCTGTAAATATGGCACTTGAGCAGCTCAGAGGGGCTAAGCTGATGAAAGTCAGTGTCTACTGGCCAGGAGTTCAGACTGATTTCTTCTCTTGAAGGCTCTGTCCACCCATGATTATCCCAGGCTCACAGCTGCAATCCATCTTAGTCCAGTCTCTTTCCTCTCAGATTTCCATGGAGCAGGAAAAACAGGCACAGCCCTGGAAGGTTATACACTTCTGGCTGGTCGAGTGCCAATACTCCTGGCTTGGCTCATGGGGTGCGGGGCAATTAAGCAGGCTACCTCCCAGCCAGGTTTCAACAGAAGTGCTACCTGAGTGTGACTGGGCAAGCACAAGGTCTCTGTCCCTTCTGGGGAAGAAGCTTCAGAGAGGAGAACCACAGTGAGGTCAGAGAACTGTAAAGTTTGAAGGAGTTGAGGCACACTGGACACTGGAATCCAGTGAAGGGAGAGATGATGAGTCAAAGTCACTATGCGATGTGATGGGGCAGGCAAGAAGGATCGGGGGTGTTGGTTGTATGAGAGGTGCCAAATCCTAGAACTCTCACCAGAAAGGTCACCTCCTATTCCTGGCAGTCTCCAGGGCTTCATGACCACCTTCTGAGCCATCTGCAGCTGCCTCCCACCCCACACTCCCAAGAACCCTTCTTTCCAGACCTGGCAGCTCTTCACTGGTTCCAAACAAGCTGTGAGTTATGCCTCCTGCCACAGCCTTTAGACCTCTTTGTGCTTCAGTTCCAGAGCTGCTTTTCTGAGTTTTCTCACCTTCTCCTCAAGAGCATGGCAGCCCTCCTCCACTACCCTGAACACATATGGACCCCAGCAACAATCTTCTCTATTACATTTACCACTTCCCCCAGCTTAGACAGTAGTGCAGATTCAGTGAGCTGGGGGAAGGTCAGAAATGTTATGAAAATGACCTATGTCAGTGGGTCCTCATCAGAGCTGGAGACTACAATCACTGGGGAAGCAGTTCCCCAATTCACATGCCTATGACCTAATAAGGTTGCTCTGGGGTTAAAAAAGAAAAATCCCAGGTAGGTTCTTTAGCCAGGCACTTGAGGTTAATGAGCGCCAGACTGCCATATGGGTCACAGGTGTAAGCACTCTCTGTCTGGATAAGACTTCAGCCCTGGATGCTGTGGAAAGGCCAGGGAGGAGCCAATGGGGCAATTCACCAAGACCACAGCCTCCTACAGATAAAGCACTGTGTAAACACAAGTAGTGCAGGTAGTTTCAGTGGCTGGATCCAGGTGAGCCCAGGCTTGCACCTGAATGTTCTCTTTTGACTGTGCTGTGAGGTCTTGGGTGAGTGATTCAACCATGCTGGGCTTCAGTTTCCTTACCAGTAAAGCAGGCTGTCCCTACCTTATAGAGCTATTGGTGGTAGAGTGCTCTATGAGTGATGCAATCCAGGACTGGCCACGAGATCTGGCACAGGGTAAGTGGTCAGAGAATAGCAGACAGAGACAGGGCAGTGGAGCCACAGAGAACATTCCCAAGAACTGGCTATATAACTCACACCACAAATCAAAGTGATGACAACAGTTATGGGCAATGGAAATTATTAACGGATAAATAGAAAATGCATATATGTACTATGGTATTATAATTTGGATCTGGTCTGTCCCCCAAAAGCCCATGTGTTAAAAGCTCAGTTCCTAGCCTGTGGTACTATTAGGAAGTTGTGGAATCTTTAGGAAGTGGGACTCAGGAGAAGCAAATTAGGTCATTGCTGTGTGACTTTGAAGGGGATATTGTGACCCCAACCCCTTTCTGTCTTTGCTTCCTGGCCACCATGAGCTGAGCCATTTCTTATGCCACACATACTCTGCTATGATACATTGTCTCACCATAGGCCCAAAAGCAACAAGCAACAATCATGGACTGAAACCTCTAAAGCTGTGAGCCTCTTTTTAAGAGGATTATCTCAAATATTTTGTTATAGTAATGGAAAGCTAACACACATGATATGGAGATACATTCATGTAGCAACATACTTTATATATATTTACTCCTTTAATCCTTAAAACAACTCTATGAGATTGGTACTACTGACAGCTCTGTTTTATAAATGAAGAAAACTGAGACACGGAGATGAAGAAACACACTCAGAGTCGGGTGCCAGTGGCTCACGCCTGTAATCCTAGCTACTCAGGAGTCAGAGATAAGAAGGATCGTGGTTTGAAGCCAGTCCTGTGCAAAAAATTCGAGAGACCCTACTTTGAAAAAACCCATCACAAAAAAGGGCTGTTGGAGTGGTTCAAATGGTAAGAGTGTCTGCCTAGCAAGTATGAGGGCCTAAGTTCAAATGCCAGTGCTGCCACACTCAGGATCATACAAGTGAACAGACTTCCAGCCTAGTACACCCTTAATCCACTATCTGGTGCTTCCTGTGTATGTGATGCACACACTGCTCTCCAGTCTGGAGGTTCCACCTTCCTCCCTATCATCGATCTGCCTCATCGTGCTAATGTCCTGGTCTCCCATAAGACTCCACTTGAGTGTCACCTCTTCCTCCTCCAAGAAGGCTTTGCTGCTGATAGCACCAAGGCTAGTGGCCACTGTGCCACTGTGCTACTATGCTAGTCTGTCTCCACAGCTTCTCTCTCTCTCTCTGTCTCTCTCCCTTCCTCCCTCCCTTTCCACTCTGTGTTTATGTTTACATGCCTGCATTTTTTCATCAGACTGTGGGGATGCCTTAGGGACTTCCTTCATTTATTCACTAACAAATATTTACAAGAGTTGATTACGTGCACACTGTGCTTTGTGCTGAGGATAAAATGGTGAGCAAAACAGAATTCCTGCCCTCATGGAGCTTGCAGACTCCATGAGGGTTGTAGGGCAAGACAGATGCTAATAAGACATCGCACAGATCTATGAAGCCTAAGTATAATACCAGGTACTATGAAATTGGGTAGTGGAGGACTTGTCCAAATTGGAAGGGAAGGGGACCAGGTAAGTGAATGTTACACTAAGGTCCAGTGACTTATGGGAACTGTTGGCAATAATGGTGCCGATAGGTTTCAGTTCTTACTGTACCCTTAAGCTTCTGTTTTCCAGGGTCACGGTCCTGCCTCAAGTCTAGCTTGAATCCTCCTTCTGCCCCAACCTCCAATCAGCATGAACCATAAGATCCTGACCAATCAGATCATGCTGAGTCCCACTGAGGGGTATTTAAGCCCCTGCCCCTCTCTCCCTCTCTCTCTTGGCTCTCTCTGCTCTCTCCCTCTCCCACCCAGCAATAAAGAATCTCTTGGCCAGATCACTCCTCTCCACGTGGTCATTTTGGGGCCTATATTTCCTTACAGGAACCACTTAAAGAAAGAAACTAACCAGGAGAAACACAAGGAACAGCACTTAAAGCCCTCCAGCCAGGGACAGGAAGGAGTGAGTGGGATATCCTATAGTCAACCCAGTTTTGTGGAGTTTTCTCCCATTTGGGAAGGGATTTCCACAGTCATTTCATAGTAGAGGCAAACACAGAAACTCCTCACGGGTCACTGTAATGCTCTTGCTCCATCATGCACCAACAGGAGCTTGGGCCAGTGCAGGAAGCTGTGACCAGGACTTCTGTAAGCTGTGTTGAGAAAGCAACTCACCAGTCTGAACAAATTTTGGAGGGAACTTAGCTCTTTTGAAAGAAGAAAGACCCCAGGGTTTCTGGGTCTCCTGCCCTCAAGCCACATAGGTATATGACCAATTCACTGGAAAATAAGAGTTGTGTACAAATCTATATGACACTCATCTTTGTGGAGAATTTCAAACTAGGGACAGTAATATGTAGAATTCAAGTAGCTGAAAGAAAGATCAGTGGAAAGAACAGGGCCAGAAGTGAGGCTGCGGAAGACTGTGGTTAAGGGTTTTGTCCTAAGAGCCTGAAAAGACCCTGAAGGCTGGTTAGCAAGGGAGTGGCTTGCTGAGACCTGCAGTAGGAACTAAGGGAGAGTGCAGAGGAGAGAAAGACACACAACTTGGACTACCTTCTGGCTTGATTCCAGATATTCCCTCTTCACTTTATGTACCCTAGACTGCCTGTATCCCTCAACCTGCTGGCTTTTCTCATGCCACCTTGAACACAGGACACACTTCTTTTCTTTCCAGCCTTGAAGCCAAGCTCAAAGCTGACCTTCCAAGAAGCATCTGCAGTGCCTCTCCCTTGGAATCTGCCACATTGAGCACAGGCCTCACCACAGTCTAGCCAGCACTCACAGGCAAGGCTCTCATGGATGTAGACTGGCATATTCACCTTGGAATCCTGGAGTGCTATGCACCACCTACAGGGGACAAACACAGCCAGGTATCTGGATAAATGAGTGAATTTGTAGCTTCTGAGAGGGGCACAATGAAGAAGAGAGACCAAGTGGGTCTGGAGAAGGTGGCCAGGCTAAGCCCAGCGATTAGGTATTAGAGATGGGCCAGTGCAGGCCACTAACCCAATTTCAGAGTCACCTGTTCAGGCACCTGGGAGCATCTCCTTTGGGAGACAAGCTGGCAGTTCAGATCTAGCTCTGGTCTCTGCTCCCCAGCCTGCTTCACCTTAACATATAGCAGCTCCATCATATGGTTCTGGAGGCCCAAACCTTGGCAGTATACTTGACTCTTTGCTCATGTCCCACATCAGCAAATCCCACTGGCTTTGCCTCCTAATCTTAACCAGAATCTAACCACTTCTCGCTCTCTTCTCTACTACCATTCTAGTCAAGCCTACCATCATCTCACATCAGGCTGAGTATAGTAACCTTGTACGGGTTGTCTGCTCCATCCTTGGCCTGCTCTAGTCGAAACATTCTGAATACAGTGGGCAGGGTGAGCTCTCTAAAATGAAAGCCAGACCATGCCACTTCTCTACTCAGATCCTGTCATAAAGACATGAGTTCCCCTCTCACCTGCAGTGGAAGCCAGAGTAACTAGAATTATACACACAGCCTTGCATTTCTGGATCCCCACACCACTGACCTAATCTCCAGACACCTTCTTCCTCAACTCTATTCAGTCCCAACAGCCATCTAGCTGTCCTTCAAACACATCAGATACCCTCTGTCCCAGGATTTTTGGGTTTGTTATTCTCTCCTGGGGCAGTTCTTCCTATGTATAATCCTCATACTACACTCCCTCATCTCTTTCAAGTCTTTGCTCAATATCACCCTCCATGTGAAGTTTTCCTTCATTACTCTATTTAAAATTATTAATCTCTAGCCTTCTCTGTCCCTGCTCCCTCTACAGTTATCTCCCATCTGACCAGCTCATGGGTTTTAATTATCTCCTTCACAGACTGCCTCTCCCTGTAGACTGCCAGCTCCCTGAGGGTGGGAAGTCTATTTTGCTCACTATTGTGCCTTCCATACTTACAACATGACCTGGAACAAGGCAGTCACTTCATAAATATCTGTTGAATGGAAGTAGCACCAACCTTTAGAGATTAAGTAATTTTCCAGTTCATACATGGCAAGGCTAGGGAGTGACAGTGCCAAGATGCAAGCCCAGGGCTGCCTGGGTCCCAATCCACCACTCTGGGTTTGAAAAAGGCACGGTGACAGTAAATGGTATGTTTATGGTATAGACAGAGGGCTAAATGCAAACCAGTATGGAAGAAGTACAAAGTAGAGCTATAAAGCAGAGGAAGAGGACACAGTAAAAGGTAGCAGTAAGAATAGATCCAGCAGTGCAGGACACAAGCGGGCAATCTAGGCATTAAGTTCACCCATGCCAGAAACACTCAGCTGCTCTGTGCAATGTGTGCCCCTTTCTCACTTTCTGCTTGTCTGACTACACTCTGGACCTCCCTCCATGCACATGGTGGCACTCCCTGACTCTCTGGCCCCTTGTCTAGCAACCCAGGGCAGAGACAGCCCCATGTTTGCCAAGGGGAAGCAGAAGCCAGGAAAGAGAAGTAGGAAGAGGTGAGGATTTGGCTGTAGAGACAAATGGCCACTAGAGACCAGGTAACCAAGCAGTTTCATTTCCACTTGTGATTCAAAGCAGGTGATTAAAAGAGATTGTTACTGCTCCAACTCATTGGGGTGGGGGGAGTAGACAGGAAAAAGACAAATCATTAAGAGTGCCAGCTTATTAAATGCCAAAGCAAACAGACAAAAAATAAAACAGAAAGTCAAACCCAACACCTTGAGCCCTGACAGGCTTTGAGTGACCCTTAAAAACTGAGACTTCCCAGGAGGAGGCGTTGGTGGGGACACGTACCCTTCCTCTGTCTCATTGATGATGTCGCAGATCTCCATGTTCAATGTCCAGTCCTCACTCTGCAGGGAGCCATCTGTTGCCTTTTCTGTGAAATCAGAGAGAAAACAGGTTTATATTTCTCTTGGAATAAGGACGCCATGGCAGGAAATGCAAAGAGACTAGAACCACCACATTCTGTGCAGATGGTCTATGCAGATGGTCAGGCCAATGGATCTGCTTTTACAAGAAAACACCCAGGGAGAGCGCTGGGCCATGGAGGCCCAGCTCATAACATGGTCCTCCATTCTAAAAAAAATTACAGACCAAAGAGCTAGCAATAGGCCTGAGCCATCAGAGCCAAACCACCTGTGTTTGAATACAGGCTCCACCACTTACTAGCTATGTGACCTTGGGCAAGTTACTTAACTTCTAGGTGTCAATCCTACTGAAAATTACAGTACCCACCCCATGAAATGGTTAGGAAAGTTAAATTGATTCATGTGCATAAAACACTTAGAATATAGCCTGGCACACAGTCATCTACAGGCATCTGCTATTATAATTATTAAAAATCAACTGCAGTAGTTGAAAACTACATCTCAGAAAAGGAAGAGGAAGAGAACATCATTCATTAAACCACTATAGGCATGGTGTTATGGTTTGTATCTTACGTGTCCCCAAAGTTCAGATGCTAACGACTTGGTTTCCAGCCTGTGGCATTACTGGGAGGTAGTAGAACGGTTGGGAGGTTAAAGTTGTGTAGAAAGAAGTTAGGTCATTGGGAATGTACACTTGAAGGGAACTCTGACCCCTTCCTCTTGTTCTCTGTGCTTTCTGGTTGCCATGAGAAGAGCAGTTTTACTCTACTACGTTTCCCACCAATAGAGCCAACTAACTTGGGATTGAAACCTGTGAGACTATGAGCCAAAATAAATCTTTCCTCCTTCTGAGCTGTTTTATCTTAGGTATTTATCACAGTGATGGAAAGCTGACTTAATACACATGGTATGTTGGATGCTTCATGTACATTGTTTTATTTTATCCACAAATCCACTCTCTGACCATTCAAGAAGGGAAAGAACAATCCTCTCAACAAATGATGCTGAAAAAATTGCAACTCCACATGCCAAAAAAAATGAGGCTGGAACCTTATCTTATACCATGTACAAAAATTAACTCCAAATGGATTAAAGATGTAAACAGAGAGTGAAGACTATAAAACTCTTAGAAGAGAACATAGGGAGAAAGTTTCATGACATTGGATTTGGCAATGATTTCATGGATATAACACCAAAGGTACAAGCAACAAAAAATACAGAAATTTAACTATATCAAAATTTAAAACTTCCGGGGCTAGAGATTTAGCTTAGTGGTAGAGCACTTACCTAGCATGTAAAAGGCCCTGGGTTTGATCCCTAGCACTGCCAAAATAGTGAAAAAAACAAAAACCCTGTGTATTAAAGGACATGAACAACAGAATGAAAAGACAACCTCCAAAATGGAGAAAAAAATCTTTCCAAATCAAATATATTATAGAAAGTAAATATTCACAATACACAAAGAACTACAACTCAACAACAAAAAACCACCCAATTAAAAAATGGGTAAAGTACCTGAACAGACATTTCTCCAAAGAAGATACACAAATAACAAACAAATATATGAAAAGATATTTCGCTGGAGGCATGGCTCAAGCAGTAAAGCGCCTGCCTTGAGAGCATGAAGCCCTCATTTCAAACAATAGTATGGCCAAAAATATTTTTTAATTTTTGAAAAGCTATTTCGCTATCACTGAGCATTAGGGAAATGCTTCCCACAATAAGATATCTCATACTTGTTAGGATGGGTATTACAAAAAGAAACTGGAACCCTTCTGCAATGTTGGAAATGTAAAATAGTTCAGCATCTATGGAAAACAGTATAGTGGGTCCTCAAAAGATTAAATATAAAATTATCATTAAGATCCAGCAATTCCATTTCTAAGTATATGTTCAAAAGAATTGAGGGGCTGTGTGTGGTGGGATATGTCTGTAATCCCAGCTACTTGGAAGGCCTGAGAGGACTTCAATTCAAAGCCAGCCCTGGCAAAAATGTAGCAAGACACCTATCTCAACAAATAAACTGGGCATGGTGGAACTCACCTGTAATACAAGCTATGCGGAAAGCATAAGTAGGAGGTTCACAGTCCCAGGCCAGCCTCTGGAAAAATGTGAGACCCTATTCAAAAAATAACTAAAGCAAATAAGGGCTGTACTCATAACTCCAGTGGTAGAGTGCCTGCCCAGCAAGCATGAGTTCAAACCCTACTACTGCCAAAAAAAAGAAAAAAAAAGAAGAAGAAGAAGAAGACAGTCTCACCACTTGTGGGTGGGTTTGCTTTGTCATGGTGGTCAAAGAATTGAAAACAGGGTCTCAAAGAAATATTTATTTATTTATTGCAGGCACTCTACTGCTTGAGCCACACTTCCAGTTCATTTTGCTCTGGTGATTTTAGAGATGGAGTCTTGCAAACTATTTGTCTGGGCTGGCCTCAAACCACAATCCTCCTTATCTCAGCCTCCCAAGCACTTAGGATTATAGGTGTGAGCCACCAGCGTCTGGCTCTAAGAGATATTTATAGACCCATGTTCGCAGAAGAATTATTCACAATGACTAAAAGGAGGAAAGGATTTAATTGTCCATTCACAGGTAAATGAATAAACAAAATATAGTATATACAGCCTTTGTAATTATATAATTATTATTTAGTGATAATAGTAGGCTGAATAAAAGCCTTACAAAGGAATGAAATTCTGACACACGCTATAGCAAGGATGAATCTTGAGGACACTATGCTGAGTAAAATGAACCAGACACAAAGAACAAATATTGTACAAGTCTACTCCTATGATGTACTAAGGGTATCTCAAACTCATAGAATTGTACTGGTAGAGTGGCTCAAGTGGTAAAAGCACCTGCCTAGCAAGCATGAAGCCCTGAGTTCAAACCCTAGTACTGCCAAAAAAATTAAAATAAAGTGAATCTTCAAACTCATAGAGTCAGAAAGTAGAATGGTGGTTTCCAGGGGTTGGGGGAAGGTGGTATGGGAGTTAGTGCTTAATGGGGAGAGTTTCAGTTTGGGAGAATGAAAGAGTTCTGGAAATGGACAGTGGTGATAGCTGCATAACAGTGTGAATGCACTTACTGCCATAGCACTGTATACTTTAAAATGGCTAAAAGGGTAAACTTTACAATTTAAAAAATGACCAAAAAGTAAAGAAAAACTATACAAAAGACCAATGGATTGTTGGGTTGGAGGGACCAGAGATTATTCTGACCTGTCACCTCATTTAACAGAAAACCTAAAGCCCAGAGAAGGAAATGGAATAGTCTCAAGAGCTCAGAATAAGAACTAGAACCAGGGCCACTGACTCCTTCCCCTCTCTAGGCTGAGCTCCATGACAGGGTCTGTCTTGCATTCTTCCACTGTGTTCCCAGTATCCAGACTTTGTAGCTGTGCAACACATTAATGTCTGATAAAGGAATGTGTTAGCATTCCTTCCTCTAAATTAGTGGTTCTGAGTCCTGGCTGCAAATGAAACCCACCTGGGGAGCTTCTGGGACACACATGCCCCAGAGGTTCTGATTTGTTTGGAATGGGGGGATGGGTACCCAAGGTGTTCACAAGTCCAGGTTAAGGACAACTGTTCTACATCACTCCCTCCCCTGCTGCTTTCTTTAGCTGGGCAGTAAAAGAAACTTAGTAGTTTTCTCTACACAGTCTCTAGCTGGTTCTCTCTGGCTTGTCTCATTATCCTGCATGCTCTGTGTCTGTCACAGAGTGATGGGGTGGCATTCACTTCCTCTGCAGCTTCTTGGCACCACAGCATAGATATCAAAACACCCAGAGTGTCATGGCTGTCATGTTAGAGCCCAGGATGGACTGCCTTATGCCTGCCTGCCTACTTCCCTGCCTCACTGATTACACTGACCCCTGAGGGCAGAGACCTTAACCTTCTCCCTCTCCTCAGCTTCAACAGTGGTACATGGCATATTGAAGGCCCTTGTCAATCTTGAGTAAATGGCATTGGGACCACATGGTTTTACTTTGCCTTGAAGTTACAGAAAGCTGCCTTGGAGGAGTCTGTAGGCTGGTCACATGGTACTGTGTGTACCTTCTTCTGTTCTGCTACCTTCCTTTTTAAGGGAGGTGGAGACAGTGGTTATGGAAAAGGATTCCTATAAGCCAGTGTGAGGGCATAAGTCTATTCCCATCTACTCGTAAGGCTAAAACAGGAGGATCTAGGTTCAAGACTAGCCTGAGCAACGTTAGCATAAAGTCCTATGTAAAAAACAAACTAAAAGCAAAGGACTGGGGATGTGGCTCAAGGGATAAATGAAGCCCTGAGTTTAATCCCCAATCTCCTGTACCACACAGGAAGGAAGGAAGGAAGGAAGGAAGGAAGGAGGGAAGGAGGGAAGGAGGGAGGGAGGGAGGGAGGGAGGAAGGAAGTCCTATAAAGCAGGGATGAAAACTTTAAATTCATTCTCGTCTCTCCAGTGATGCTAATTTGCAATTAATATCACAAAGCATATCAAGAATCTGAAGAAAGGCAAAATGGTTCTGTGCAGAATGTTAGGATTGAGTTTTTTCTTTCCACCTGGTTCATAGAGGCCAATTCTGACTACTAGCAGACAGTAATCTAGAGGATTCATTTCATATTATTGGACATATTATCCAGTGAGCTTCCTGCTCATCGAAGTTCCTTTTTCTTCTTTCCCTATACCTGGCATAGAGCATCCTGAATGCTGTTCCTTTGTGTTAGCATCTCTGGGCCCCTACCTACATTCAATTGTTGCGGAAGTAGATACTTTAGCTGTTCTTCATTCTCACCAAAACGATGTTGCTTAATGTAAAATGCTAAACCAGCCCTCTTTTGCCTTCTGGTGCTGGCTGCTTCTAAAGTCACTATATTTAACATGAAAGTGTAGATACAGCAGCCAAGAAATCAAGCCACTAGACTGTGAGGTTCCTTCCAGCAAGGCTGCCTTAGGTTTTGGATTGCATGAAAGGGATGGGCGGACAAGAAAACCATGCTCCACAGATACTATCGCTGCTGTTGGGGT